TATAGCACAATCGAAAAGGAATTGTTAGGCATTATTTTCGGTACCAAAACTTTTAGACCTTATCTCTATGGTCGCAAATTCAAAATTGTGACTGACCATCGCCCTTTATGTTGGCTATTCAAATGCACCGATCCAAGTTCCAAACTAGTTCGTTGGCGCCTCAAGTTAGAAGAATTCGACTATGAAATAGTCTACAAATCAGGCAGAATGAACTCTAACGCCGACGCTCTATCCCGTCCCCCAATACACAATATCCATAACATTGACACGACTGATAACCTGACTTATGACTCTTTCCTGAAAACTCGATCTTCACCAACTAACTTTGATACCCAAATAGTAGAACATAACAAAAGCCTTTTAGATAGCCCATGTCAACTCATAATTTGCCCAACGTCTATTGATCTAGATCTTTCAAATCCTTACTGTGATACCATCCTCAACCTCGTAGAAGATAGACAGTTATTCGAATCTACTGAACGAGAACTTTATGAATCAAGTTCAGTCATAAAAAATAATAAAACTTATTTCCTCTTGTTCTTCAAGATTCATCACTATGAATCCGCCTCGTATAAGGATATATTTGAATCAATCAAAAGACTTCGAAATAACCTTGTAATCTTCTTTAATGATAAACAAGAAATTTCTATATCAGATTTTAATAACCCTTATGACAGACTTCAATTTATACTTATATACGAAATTATTGCTTTCCTTTTTCACAAAACAAAAATCAAGGTTAATATATATCACAATAACATAATTTATCCTACCCCTGTAGAAATCCCAACCATCCTGAAGGACAATCATGATTCCCCTATTGGTGGTCATATTGGTGCTACTCGTTTATACAACAAATTAAAAGAATTGTATTATTGGAAAGGAATGAAATCAGATATCGAAAACTATACTAAAACTTGCCGCCAATGTCAACAAAATAAGGCACTGAGAGCAACAAACAAAGCTCCAATGGAAATTACTTCCACATCTCGTGAACCTTTAGAAAGGATATCCACCGACATAGTTGGTCCACTTCCGAATTCTGGCCCAACAGAATATAGATATATTGTCACCTTCCAGGACGACCTTACAAAATACTCCATGGCATACCCTATTACACAAGCTACTGCCCAAGAAACAGCAGAAGCACTTATAACTTTTATGAGCCATTTTGGCATTCCTAAAATTATTCTTTCAGATCAAGGTGTCCATTTCATAGCCGACGTTTACAAACAAGTAACCTCTCTATTCAAAATAAAACATCTGTTTTCATCTCCTTATCATCCACAAACAAATGGAGCTCTTGAACGTAGCCATGGTACTCTTAAAGAATACTTAAAATCTTACGTTAACGAAAACCAAAACGATTGGCACAAATATCTCCCTACGGCATTAATATCATACAACACTAGCATTCACTCATCTACTAATTTTTCCCCACACGAACTTTTATTCGGCTGTAAGCCACATATACCCAGCTCCATTTACGACATTCACCCTAATGCAACTTATAATGACCTCATCAAAACATTGAAACTTAAACTAAATACTTCACGTAATATAGCACGAGAAAACATTCTTCGTAGTAAAGAAAAGGCTAAGCAATATTACGATAAAAGAACCAAAGCCGTAAACTATAACGTTGGAGACATGGTGTATGTAAAATATCACCACAGATTACGTAAAGCGCTATCACCAATCTGGAAAGGTCCCTTTCAAATCACTCAAGTTCATAATAATAATAACGTCACGATTCTCATGAACCGTAAACAAATTAGATATCACTTTGACGAAATAAAATTGGCTCATGATAATTCTCTTCCAGGGCCATCATGCCAGGACTCATCTCGGCAAACATAACAACGCCAATCGTGAACAGTCCCGGTATCTACTTCGACTCCCTAGGAATATTAAAATTCTATAATGATCATTGGAACATTCTAACCTATTCTGATTTTTCTTATATTAAACCACATATAGATAATGTTAAGCAAGCAATAGATACTTCTAAGGACATTTGTAACAAATATCCTTCTTTCGAAATGCATATTGATTGTGCTAATGTATTAAGTCCTTTGGAAAGTTTGTATGTCAACGTAAATAACAACTTTATCTCATTATCTCATTTAACTTCCTTGGAGTCCCATCGTAAACAGAAAAGATCAGCATGGTTTGGTGTCGGAGGTCCTATCCTAAAACAGCTCTTTGGTTCCCTAGACGATGATGATGCAAAAACATTCACCGATGCTATAAACGCCGTTCAAGATGACCAAAGGCATTTAGCATCCCTAATGAAAGATAATATTCATATTATTTCTTCTACTATATCTACTTTTAATAATACTATACAAAAACTTAACGCTAATGAAATTACGTTGAATAACAACGTGGAAAAGTTGCATAAAATATTAGATACTGTTTCAAAAAACACTAATAAGATAGAAGTTAATACTCATCTTGCCATGACTTTCAGTTCAATAGAAAGTTCCTTGATGATCCTTAATTTTAGTTTAAAAGACCTGATAGATGCTATTCTTTTTGGGAAACAGAATGTAGTTCATCCTTCTGTTCTAAACCCCATTCTACTATATAAAGAACTAAGTTCAAATAACGATTTAGTAGCTCGTAACTTTCCGCTTCCTATAAGTTTAGATAATGCTCACATTCTCTTAGATTTAGCCGACATTTCTTCATTTCTTAGCGATAACAAGTTAATTTTTAATATAAGAATACCTTTGACTTTATTAACTGACTATAAGCTCTATCACGTTTATGCTCTGCCTACACCCCATGATATACACAACCCTAATTCATTCGCCATGATTAATCCTACAACTAAATATTTAGCCTTAACAGAGGATAAGTTGACATACTCTTTATTAGACAACCTAAGTGAATGCAAAGTGGTAAAAGACAATTACAATCTGTGTAAACTTAATAGTGTCCATTCCTCAGTGTCAAATCCAATCTGTGAAGTGACTATCTTATCGGAATACGTGAACCAAATACCCGCGACGTGTGATTATAAGGTGCTTGTAGGTAATATAGATGTTTGGCAAAAACTAACTAGTAATAGGTGGATTTATGTACTAAGTGATATTTCTAAGCTATCGGTTAATTGTAATAATATGTTAACAGACTATGATGTAGTTGGAACAGGAATCCTTCAGTTGCAGAAAGGCTGCAAAGCTTATCATAAATTGCTACAGTTTATTGCTGCAAATGAATACCATTCTAGTATACATTTGCCATCTACCCATTTCAATATCATGGAGGATGATTGCTGTTCCAAAAAGACAATAAATAGCAGTATTCCATATCTGACACCTGTAAGGCTATCTCATATAAATCTAGATTCGTTGCAATACGCTTCTCATAAACTTAATCAAGCCACAGAAGAGCTTGACCGAATACAAACTCAGCCATATCATATCAAATATGGAAACTACTTTAGTATAATTACCACAATAGCCTCTGTGTGTATGTTTAGTTTCATATTTTATAAGTTATATAAATGTATTTGCTGTAGAAATAGACATAGGCGTAATCGTAGTAACTCTACAAGTACTAGTTGTTGTATAAAAATATTTAATTCATGTTATACTAAACCCAATAACAATACTTCAGTAACTCATTCAAGTTCTAATAATATACTTGATAGAACTATATCCAACTTTGAAATGTCTAGCGTTAATTCTGATTCTAACTCTTCTATTAATTCACCTAAACGTAATTTAGACTTCCAATAAATGTGTAATAATTATATCTTAGATTATAAGTATTGTTTTTTCTCTTAAACTGCATAATTTTTCAATTTTATGTTTCCTCTAATTTTTATGCTACTTTGATTCTAAGAATGTCTTAAGTAATTAAGTAACTGTTTATACAATATTGATGTTCTACTACCTTTTTCTTTTCTTTTTTTTTCTTCTCTATCTTACTTTTTCTCCACTACTCGCATCCCTCTCTCGGATGCTGCGTTTTAATGGGGGGAGGTGTTATAACCTGCCTACCTCATGCCTACTACAGAAATGTTGCTGACTTAGGAAAACTATAATGAATAATTATTTCCAATATTAAAATTGTGATCAGCAATATTTTATGTATAAAAACCCGCGATTTCAATATTACAGTTAGTCTTGTTCTGATTTGTGGAATTGCTGCCCAACAACGGACCTGGTTTCTGCCTGCCGGTTGGCCTTCAGCAAGGAAACTCTGAGGAACTATTCAACGGCCTAGTAAACTAGCCCGTCGCGAGTCGTTATCCTTAAAACTAAAAGGAAGTAGTAGTGAACAATAAAGTGATAGCAGTGTTATAACAAACATAAATATATAAATAAAGTGATTGTGAGCAAATAAAGTTTTTTTTTTAAATTAAACTAAGTGCTCCGTCTAACAGTACGCAGTATATTTTAAAATCTGGCTCCGGGCCATTTGCAACTAGAATTTGTAAATCATATCAAAATATAGTTCAGTAACGAATGCCTTTGTATAGATTCTGCCGCCCCTCAAAGCTTTTGCAGCCGCCCCGGGCCATGGCCCCTAGGATAAATACACCCCGTACGTACGGAGTATAGACGGCAGCAGCAATCTTAAATTTACAATAACTATTCTGCTGTCGAAAAACTTTATCTCTGAAGAGCTAGTGTTATTTTTTGCTCTGTTTTTTATTTTGTTTAATAAATAACCCCTAAAAAGCAAAAAGCTGTTTTCCTCTCTTTCTTAACCGAAATTGACTAGTGCATTTGTCACTTATTTAAACAGCCGCTTTGTATAGCTTTAATTAGGGCAATTCAAATTAAGCACGCGAAGAAAACGGCTCATGTTTCGCGCAATGTGTACGTGACTCTAATGTCAGATCGCACTAAAGCAGTTAACAGCAGAGCGTATGTAGCGACGAGCATCTACCATATGTAGTAGATATTTTTGTGCCGCTTTTGTGCGGTTTATACGATGTATATAATCAAAGATTTTTCAAATAGAGTGTTGTTACCTGACAGATCCGAAGATAACGATCGACCCGATGTCGTGGCGCGGCGATATGCTGGCTGTGGCGTTCATAGGAGTGTTAGCGGCTGCTGTACTGTTAGTGGGGGCTGCCCTTATATGCTGGTACTCCAAGTCTAAGCACAGGTATCTATCGGAGTTAATTCTATATTAATATTATAGCTATTAACGGGATTGTTACCATGTACCTTGTATTTTATGACTCTCCGATATTTCGGTACTGTTGCAAGCGCCATGATCACGGAGTAGTTACTCCAGTACATGGTAACAATCTCGTTAATAGTTAAGGGAAATTTTAATGCCAGTTCACCCTTGACAGTTCTTTATGAACACGCAATCCCGTCAGCCGTCTACGAATCCATTTTTCCCACACTGTTCAATATTCAAGTCCTTTTGCAATCTCTCTATGACTTGCACCGTAATCGCCTATGTAATCTTTCCAAAATCGCGTTGAAAATCAACTGTCACAGCGCGGAGCCAATTATATACGCCAATACGCTCATTGGCGTATACTAGATAAATCCAGTTCAATTAAGAAGCCCTTAGAGCCTATTGCGCAAAAAGCAAGCACGAATTGTAACCAAGTTGGCAGTTGTCATTGCACCTTCAACTTTATTCAGTAGTGCTAAGGCTCTTATTGATATGCACCGCAACATTCAATCTTCGTATTTTGGTAACTCGGGTCCCGAGTACTTCGAGCGACGTTCTGGAGAAATCTGTTTCCAAATTGTTCATTATCTTTGTGTTATCTTTATATATATAATTCTTCTGTGAGTGTGTATGTCACTGAACTTCTCTTAAACGACTGGACCGATTTTGATGAAATTTTTTGTGAGTGTTCAAGGGGATCTGAGAATGGTTTAGATTCACAATTTTGTCCGCTGGACAATGTTTTTTTAATTAAATTTTTTTATGGCGGTACCAAGTTCGCTGGGTCTATGTAAAGTTTATGAGTGTGTTTATGTTTGTTACTTCTTCTATATGGGTGCGGCCAGAGTGCACTCAGATTCAGATTCAGATTCAGATTTCGAAAACAAGCGCGAGAAATAAACAGTGTAGTCGAAGGGTACGGCCAGATTGCACTCCTGATTCAGATTCAGATTCAGACTCGGAAAACAAAGCGCGAGAAAAAGCAGGCAACCTGCTTAGACTACACTGTTTATTTCTCGCGCTTGTTTTCAGAATCTGAATCTGACTCTGAATCTGAGTGCACTCTGGCCGCACCCTATGTCTATAGGGCTGGAGCGATTTTAATAAAATTTGGTATGGAGTTAGCTGACACCCTGGATTAATATATAGGCTTCATTTTACTGCGGGAAAATATCCCTAATAAACCGCGGGTAACACCGCGAGCCACAGCAAGTAATATATAATTTTATTGGCAAATCTTGTATGATATTATTTCTTAAACTCGTGTTACATACACGTGTGACTAACTTTTTCCCGATAATAAAGATTTATGTTTCATAAAACAGACACTTGCAACGCCTGGAGCGTCGGAACAGCATAAGACAATCGCTGCATTCAGTACGGTCCATCGGCAGCATCAACGGAGCCTACCCCGACACCACTTACAGGAGGAAACTGGCACAAATGGTGAGCATTTATTGGTGTCGATTCTGGCCTGATTCTCTAAACCTAAACTTAAATTTGACAACAGTGTATCCTTGTCATTATCTATACCGAGTGAAAAGGAAAGACTTATGTTAAATTAAGGTTTAAGTTTAGAGAATCATGCCGGTATCGACACCATTGTATACCTACTAGCTGACCCGGCGAACTTCGTGCCGCTTACAATACAATGTTTCAGAGGTAAGTAGGTAGAACAGTTTATATGGGGAAATGAAATTGTTGTTTTTACTATCTTTTTCGCAAATTTTCGATATATTCTCACCGTTTAAGACTAAGTTCATATGACCGATCAAGGCTTAATTGTGCAATCTTAACAATTTTAATAGTCATAAATTGATTTAAATAAATCCATCCACTTTATCGTATCTACGTACTTTGAACGGATGTTTACAAAGTTGTACTGTTTTAAGATATTTTGTAAACGATATATTATATCAATATTTTAAATGGAGCTGTAGTACATCTACTGTTTATAACCCACACTAGTGGCCCGCCCTCGCTTCGCTTCGGTGTAGAGCTGTAGTGTAAACTATACTTTTTGTTCTCAGGCTTGTGCTATAAAGAATGACTTTATTTATATAATTACACGTGTTATTGTGAGTCAACCATAAAAGATAGACATATGCTGTTGCGGGATATTTTTTAGACAATTTTATCCTACACGCCTGAATAGCTCGCAGATTGCAGAATTTTTTCAGACTTAAATGACATTTATCGTTATATTTTGGACAATTCACACAATATCTTTATAAATTATAGCCTATGTGTTATTCTGATCTATAAGCTACATTACTGTAAAGTTTCATTAAAATCCGTTTAGTAGTTTTTGCGTGAAAGAGGAACAAACATCCATCCATACATCCATCCAAACAAACTTTCGCCTTTATAATATTAGTAAGGATTTTTTAATTAATCGATTCTTGAGTTTCTCGGGTAACTCAAAATATTCGTTGTATACATTTATAGACTAGCGCCACCCGCGACTTCGTGCGCGTTAACTTTAGTTTTTTTAAATCATCAGGAACCTAAAATTTACCGGGATAAAAGTACTATCTGCCTCAATCCAGGTAAATACCTTTCTCCACATTTATAATATTAGTTAGGATCTCATAAGTCTGCGCGAAAGCTTTGGCTTTGTCTAGTAGACTACTATTTTATCTATATAACCAACTTAAACATTCATCAAAATCGGTTCAGCGGTTTAGACATGGAAGGTTAAACACAGATTTATTTTTGATTTTATAATACATACATATTGGTATAGTAGTAGCAGTCTCCTTGGTGGACTAGGGACGTAAGAAGAACAAAGAATGCGCTGACTACTAACTTTCGAATGGAGATAGCAATAGCTCCTATCAATGACCATAATATTTATGCCCATATTCGGAAATTGTTGCAGCCTATGCATAATCATATTTCTTTTTATTGGCTTGAACAATAATGTGATCTTAAACTAATGACCAGCATCTCCTTTTAAGCTTAAATAGCCTGTGTCAGGAGATACAGCTCTTCCTTAAAATAGATAGTATAAAATTCCATTAAATTCCAACAAACTATGACCAAGATCTAATTAGTTTAGAAGTTCGGTGTTTATGCCTGCGTAAGTGTAAATGTGGGTATGAGTGTTCGTGTGTGTGTATGTGTGTGAGCGTGTAGGTGTAGTTTGTGTGCATGTATATATGTCTTAGTGTGTGCAAGATTACTAGGCTCCGATTAATAATATATCGATTTCATCATATGTTTTAGCATATTTCTAAAGTACCTTTTTTTCTTTTAACAGAGCACGCGTTCCACTGACACCTTAACCAAAGGCTCGGACTACAGAAAAATGGTTGCGTCCACAGTATCAGTGGAATCAATGGAGAAAAGCCAATTCAATTCGTCCACAGAAGATAACCAGAGTTTTGACATTTACGAAGCACACAACCCGAGCGCCAACGTAATGCCGCTTAAACACAGCACTTTCATCAAGAAACCTGTATCACCCGAATACTCTATACCTCAAAATACCAATAGACCATTCAATTTAGCGTATAGAAACGAGGGTTACAGAGAAAATTCAACCCCAGCAAGCGAAGCGCCATCCACAAACACAGTTATGACCGAAGAAATACCCATATTGCACCACCCCGGAGGTTTACAATCCCAAGAACCGGACTCTCAATACTTCACTTCGGACACTTTACCTTTGAGGGGTGAAAGGGACAATTTTAAGCGGGAGTTAGAGAAGGAAGGCAAGATTTACGGGCCGTACGGTGCGCCTAACTATGGGGGGCAGCCGAGACTCTCTTTTCTCATGGAGTTAAGGTCGAAAATGCCCGAGCAACCGCAGCCGGGAACGGCCCCTACAACGACCTTCGGTCAGAGGAACAATGGGACAGGTGAGTTTCGGTTTTGTTATGCAACGACAATGACGACTTTGTATATATCAATACAGGGAGAAAAAAGCAGCCCTTCCTGAGTTTCTTGCCGGTTCTTCTCAATACAAGGTCTCCCGCCGTAGTTTTGCGAACCGATGGTGTAGCTTCTTGACCTTCACAAGTGCTTGTAACAGCCTAGACTGAATAAATGACTTTTCATTTCATTTCAACGCAACGCGAATGAATGCGAGTCGTCGAGTTAAGTTGCATTTTAATGACAAGTTATTATTTGGTATGATGCCATTTGAAAAATTTTGGTTAGCTAACAAAAACCTAATAATTATTTGGCCAGTATACAAAGACTTTGTTAGCAGTTATTAAAAATCAGGTTGTAATTCTTCTTCTGTCAACAATCGTGATAGCGGTCAGTTATTTACTGAATCATTATCACCTATCTATATAAGCGGAACACAATTGAATTCTATGCGTACCCTCTGAGTGCTTACTAAAATCTGATTATATATGGGTCACTCATTGCAGCTTTTATATATTGTCGGCTCTACATAAATGTATACTGCTGTTCAGAATGATATAAATTGCAGACTGATTTAGAATTATTTGCTGACCATAACATGCTGCCCAACTAGTTTTTTTTGCTACCAAAAATACATTACTTTTATGACATTTAATGTTAAAGACGTTTTTATTACTTTGCATTAAGGGTGATTTTAGTAGTTTCATAATTTACTACAGTATTTAAGTAAATAATAAGTAGCTTGAATTCGCAAACGTTCTCAATTGAATGAGTTGAATTTATGGTTTAACAAACATAATGATAAAATTGAAAACGTTAAGGTCTAGTTATGGAACAGACAATTCAGCTTCTTTAATAAATTTCTGTCATATTAGACTGTACGTTCGTGAAAGATCACATTGTAATACGTCATACGTCGGCTTTACAACGCCGTAATCTTAAAGTTATTTAACTTACATAAATATGAAAATAATTCGACTTTATATTGTTTTAAATTTTCATGGTCACTAACATTATAGTAATGTAAGTTATTTAAAAGGATTGTTACCATGTACCTTGTTTTTAGCGAGTTTCCGATATTTGCAACAGTGCCGAAATATCAGAAACTCGCTAAAAACAAGGTACATGGTAACAATCCCGTAAATAACTTATATTTCTATAATTCGATTTGCTTGCGTGCGCAGTACAAAGTACACTAATTAACAAAAAATGTAAAACTGACACAGGCGGGATCCTTTCTCATTAAAAAAATAGTAAAAATATAATTTATTTCTGTTAAATAAAATAAAATCGTATAATTATTATGTTTGTTTCAGATCCACAACAGTATTACGATGACAGTATGGCCAGTCCGCCCCCACCGCACTATCATTACGACACGACTCTCTCAGAAAACATTCCGAGCTACGAATCAAGCCCTCAAGACCTTAGTAGGGAATTCGACACTCCTACACCAGAATTACATCACAGATCCAAGTCCGAAGCGTTATTAGAAACCAACTTCGAATTCGATGACTCAGAGTCCAGCCCTTTGCCGATCTCCGAAGCACACCGATCGCACAGTCAACCTTTAGAGACCGCAATGTGATCATAAAAGAAATCTACCAAAATAGTAGTTTTTAGTAGTCGAATGAAGAGGCAACATTTGAAGTTAATTTGAGGGAAGGGAAGCGGTGTAGTAAAATAAATTAGCCAATCGGTGTTCAACTTAATAAAAGGGGACCTTCGATTTTTGCCCAATTTTGTATCTTGCTACAAATTATCTCAAAAAACATTTAAAACTATACGTAAAAATACTCACCAAAATCCCAATCAATTTTATAAAATTTGCTGAAAATTTGAATTAAAATAGGGAATCTGCGTATAAAGAAACGTTATTACTTAGACGTAATGTGTCATTGACAGATGACAGCTAAAACTATTGGTTTAAATTCCTTTCCTTGATTGTGATTGGTTGTATAAAAATCTCGTACGTAGTTAAGAAAAAAAAAAAAAAGATGTACATTAACCGACATAAATTTTCTGTGTTGCCATTAATTTAAAATTTTAAACGACCTATATATGGTACAAGTGTATAATAAACTCCATTTCTCTCTCTCTTTTCTCATTCTGATGAATTCGCCGTATCTTTCTACACATAAATGCATGATAATTCTTAAGGTACAAAATTGGGTGAGTTGTATGTAGAAAAGAATGATCCTTTAAACGTTTTAGTTTATACTAACGATGAACGCTTTCTTACTTTACTGGAACTTAATCCAGAATTAAATGATTTTCAATTATATGTTAGTTATTTAACATGATAATAACAGCTTGTTACTTAACATAACATAACTATAAAATTAACATGCGCAGAGGGAAGCAGGCAGTACCCATTCTCTGTAATAAAAAGAAAGTGAATACTAATGTGGTATGTAGTTTAGAAATGAAAAGACTGAAATTATTTGTCTTGATGAGAAAATATTTGTGCATTTATAAAAATACTGCAATAATGAGGCAATACCTACATGCATTGTATTGAATAAATTATGTACTGTTTTTATGTAAGTTAAATACTTATATAAGAAAGTTAATGTACGAAAATGAGGAAAGACTTGAGGGACCTATAGGTTTAGGAATCAATGTAAGTTTAACATACCATCTATATATTCTCGATCTCATTATATCAGATCAAATATATTGATTTGATTGTTCGCTGTTGATTGTAAGGCTTTTAACGTGAACATTATAATGTTAAATGTTGTAACAGTAAATAAACAATTTACTAACGTGATTAGGCCAATTATTGTTTAATGTATTCAAGTGCAATTATTAAAGGTTTTGTTAATTGTTTTGAAAATGCTATGAAACACATTTAAGACATATCTATGAATTAGAATTAACATAATGTATGTGTAATACTTGTCCGTTCTTAAATCTAAAGAATTATTTATGAAAAAATGTATAATATACTTGGTAAATGTTATTTACTCCAGTAATTAAATATTTTGTATATTAAATCTTTCCATAGACAATTTATATTAGTTTATGTTAATATTAAGATATTTTAAGGAATCTTGAGTTTTCATTGTTCATTAGATTTAATTTCTTATCATATTTTTCACACTTGTTTACATCACTTTTTTTCTAATTTAAATGGTTTTATCATATTCTCGACACATTTTTTAATCTTATTTAATTTTATATACATTTTTACTCTAATATTTCTCTTACACTTAGTTTACTATTTTTATACATACCAGACTTAAATATTCTATGTGCTTTAATCGCAAATTGTACAAACACGTAAGAACTATAAGTGATAATGACAAAATCTTACGAATAAAATTATCTTTTATTAAAAAAGAGTTTTATTTCTTTACGTTACACGTTATATTATTGTTTGACTCACTGACATACTGGTAAACCTTAAACCACATAATACTAATGGGTGCCCGCGATTTCGTCTGCGTGGAAAAGATTATTATTTTTCTAAGCTTTCCTTTTCACCACCTTATATGATTAAAGACAATACTCAATTCCAATATATATTTCTTCAGTAATCCGGTTATTATATATTGGTTTTATAGGTGGCTGAAATAACATAAACAGTACTAGAAGAAAACCACTTACGTATAAGGTTAAAAAAATCTTTATAGGAAACCAGTTACGTAGAAGGATATAAAAATACTTGAAGGAAACTAATTTCCTTAACACCCCACGGGGATTCATATGATAAATCCAACGATAATTAATACCCTAGATATACCAACACGAACAAAATCATGCCCGAAACCTGTCCAAAAGGTACATTGGACGATCCACGGAGCTCCGCAAGATAATCGCATAGTCTAAACAATATGTAGAATTATTATAATAATCGTTATGAATGTTAGTGTCTAATAATGGTGGATTATTAACCACTAAGTGGTTAATAATCCACCATTATTAGACATCTGTTCGAAAGGTACTTTGAACGATCCACGGAGCTCCTTAAGATGATCGCGTTGTCAAAAACAATGTTGGCACGCTTGTCGCCTCTGATCACTGTTTTCATATTTATAATATTTATCCAGATGTTTCTAGTTTCTATATAGACACAACGTGTTTTAGTTACTTACAAGTGCTAATTACATATGGACTAATAACTTAAATTCAGTAGTGATTTTAATTGAATATTTTGAATATTTATTTAATTTTTCAAATTAAAACTGAACTTAATTGTCTGTGTTAACTATCCTTTTCCAGTCCTTTTATTATTTTATTGTAATTATTAATTATTTGCATGCAATTAAAAAATATTTTTAATGATGCTAAAGAAGTATAACTTCTCACGCGCGTACATAAGTTACACGCATCCATTTTTTATGTTATAGGGGGCATACGAGCAGACGGCTCACCTGATGGTAAGTGATCACCGTCGCCCATGGACACTATATATTTTTTTAGAAATATAGTACATATTTGATCCCTTAATATAGTAGGATATTACATTATAAAGTAGGATAGTATATTATACAGTAGGGTTGGCAACCCTACTGTGTCAGTGTTATTCAATTTCATTTCAATCTTTTCAATCAATTACTTCAAATATTCACTCATTCATTTCATGACATTGACAGTCGGGCTACATTGAGACGTCCCATTTTTATTAATTTTTATTTGTGGTTTACAAAATGTTGTAATGGAAATAAGTACATCAATAACAAAGACTTTTGTTTTCGTTAGAATATGTTATTAATAAAATAAAACAGTGAGGTCTACTTTAACGCAGATCAGGAATTGAAAGATAGAAAACCTTTTTCTGCTATATTGTGTTTTTTTATTTGTTTTCACGTAAATACAATATATTTTGATGATGGATACGACGACGGGATCTATTAACAACGAGGTGAATGTGGACAATGAAGAGGAGATTATTGACGACTCGGAAGAGAGAGAACTGGTGGCGGACTCGTGTTCCACCAAGGTCCTGGACACCGCAGAGCAGCCCCGCGACAGATACAACTTAGTCTACATTTTATTCTATTTATTCGGGATCACTTCACTAGTCCCATGGAATTTCCTTATCACTGCAAATGATGTGAGTAAACGGCGACCTTCATGGTTTTACTAAATTTTTAACTAGTTATAGATAAAGCGAAAATTGACAGCCAAATGGGAGTATAAATATATCAATCAATAAAAACAATTATGATTAGATGATTATCTTTGCTAAATTGGTTGTTATTGTTTAGTAATGAATAAAAAGTAATCAGAATTACCACTATTAGTAGATTGCTGTATCAAATTCTAATATTTGATTAAGAGTAATCTTTTTTTTTATTAAAAAATGATATATTTAACTTTGTAGGCAAATGTAAAGAAAGATCCCTTCATCTAAGTGACATTGTTGGCAAAAGTAAATATTAATAGATTCAGTAATCATAAAACAACTGAGTCAATTTTAAATTCTATAATTCAGACCATAAGAATGACAATATCACAATAGAAACAAGTTCTAAAAATGTAGCATTGAATATGTAAAAATGACTCAATCCTAAGATGAAAAGAGAAGAATTGACGTTATACAGACAGCCATAGGTCTAGTTACCCAAAAAACTGACATATTTTTTTATTGAGCTTTATTTTGCTTTATTTACAATTTATAAATCTTAAAACAGTGACATTTGTGGTAACTAGCTGTCTGTACAGTAAAATGATAACGATCCATAAAATTAGAGCTTGCTGATATCCCATTATTCTTTGTCAATTTTTCCTGTGATAAAAACTTGTTTTAAATTATAGCAGAGATATTTCAACAGATGCCATTTCTGAATTTGTTCTAAAGAAGCATCTACTCCTTTGTTTCAGTATTGGATGTACAAGTTTCGAGATGTAAACCCGAATAATGTGACCATGTTCACTGAGGTCAGGAAGTCTCAGTTCCAGGCTGAGTTTACCTCGTATCTAAATGTGGCCACTGCAATCCCTAACTTGATATTCCTCATCTTAAACTCTCTGTATGGGCATCTGTAAGTATGCAATTTTTTTTTAAGAATCAAGTAAAGTTCAATCTAGAGTTCAATATTTTTATTTAAGGTTTTATTAAACACTTATTCCAGAATCATTGGGCTAACAACCTACTGTAATTGTTATTACAAAACGACTTATGCCTACCCATTACCATATTATGTGGTCATTGAATTATTTCTGATTATGATATAATCTTTTGTCCCTGTTTTAATCCTGTGACTAATTTGCAGAGTTTCAATGAAGAGTAGACTGCAGGGTTCTCTGTTTATAGTGACACTAGCATTCCTAGTGACCACAGCTCTTGTACAAGTCGACACTGATGACTGGCAGAATGGTTTCTTCATCATAACAATGGTGACAGTGGTGATCATGACAGGTATGTTTCTACTTTCAACTGATAATAATAAAATTCATTCATATTCATAGTTGAATGATATAAATAATGGGTAATAAGGCCATCTCTTGTTTGGTACAGATCCATCCATCTCCTTAGGCTTAGGAAGTAATTCTTACATCAAGCAATAACTAGACTCTTCTCTCTCAGAAATTAAGCAGTTTTAAATGAGTTCATTCTCAAAAAACAAAACTGGAATGTAGACATAGTCACAAGCTGAAGCTAGTTTAATAATAATTTGAAATTAAGTGCACATGTCACATCTTGCAGATGTGCTATCTTTGTTTACATAATTTCTATCAATAACCTTTGCCCTTCTCACCTTGTTACATTTTGCATTTCTGTGTTTGCAATCAACCAATATTTTAGTAAATTCCATCGAATGTTGCACCCTGATGATAAATGAAGGTAAACTCCCAGATACTAAGATAGCTTGTGCAACAGTTTTACTTGCCACTTGTTTTTAAAGGACCTTGGGTCATAGGAAGCAGGCAACATGTACATGAACAAAGCATTCCATATATTGTGAATAGTTGAACAACAAAGAAATGAGTCACAAACTTATGGCTCTGAAATATTTTAGATAATAGTTATTTATGTTGTTAGTCTTATTTATTAGAGGAACTCGATGGCGCAAGTGGTAAGCGTGTTCGGCTGCGGTTGTTGAAGTTAAGCAAATTTTGCAGTGGTCGGTCATTGGATGGGTGACCAATAATTTACTATATCGAGCTCTTCCGAGCTACGGAAAGCATGTTAAGTCGTTGGTCCCGGCTGCATCTGCAATCGTTAGCACTGCACTGGGCCCACGCGGTGGGTCATGGCCCAATCTCCCTATTCCATCCATAGGGAAGGTCTGTGCCCCAGCAGTGGGGACATTAATAGACTGATGATGAAGATGATGTTTTTAGTGTGGTAAGTTGGTTATTTTTTACTAACGAGTAGATACAACCTTTGTAAATGCATTTTTGAGTAAATGTGTTTAAAAATAGTTTTTCTATATGTAACGGAGGTTCAATCCTGGGACCTTAGAGCTGGTTATATCATAAAAACTGATATGCCAAGTCAAATTAGAAATGACAAACCACAACCTTCTAGCATTCATTGCCATTTGGCAACTAGTTGGTGCAATGGCAGCAATCCTGCCTTGAGTTCCGAAGGTCCAGGGTTCAAATCATAGTAAGGGTTTTTATTTGTGTCATAAGTGTAGTTGTTCTTGAGTTGTGGTTGTTTATATTATGTACATTATTTACTTTAAGCAGTACAAATATTAATTTTGGATTATTTTTCTAGTAAACTTTTCTTTAGATTAAAACATCTAGCAGTTAAATGCTTAAAAATAAATAAAAACATAAATATAAATTGTTTTGCTTAGTAAGAGCGAGGTCACAACACTGCGTTGCAACGTGTCGCATCGCAAAAAAATTCATCGCATCGCAACGGCCGGCAGCGCATCGGATGATGTACAGTGCGACGCCGCAACGCAGTATTGAAGCTTCGCCCTTAGGGCCTTATAAATTATTTGTTGCAAGTTGTTCTCAGTTTGTTAATTTTTTACCAAAATTATTTAATTTTAAATCTTCCTTGTTACAGCGGCCAGTGCGGTGTTCATAGGAGGCTTAGTGGGCATAGCGAGTCGTTTCTCCAAAGAATACATGGCAGCGGTGGTCAGTGGCCAATCCTTGGGTGGAATCCTGGCCGCGGTAGCTCAAATCATATCTCTGGCCTTTAAAATATCGCCGCTCCACAGCGCCCTCATATACTTCGTTATAGCAGACTTTATGGTCATCAGCTCTTTAGTGTCATATGCTATGCTGTACAAGATTGACTTCTTCACTCATCACATACTTAGAGGCTGTGGAGGCATGGCAGTCAATAGACATCGAGAAGTTACCATGAAAGTGATATTGAAGAAGATTTGGGTGTACGCATTCAGTATTTTCGCTGTGTTCGCTGTGAGCATGGCCGTTTATCCAGCTGTGACTGTGCTGGTTGAATCTCATCCAGTGACAAAGGGGACAGATTGGAACAGTAAGTACATAGTTATATTTTTTTACCATGAACTGCGCATTACGTGTGCGCGCGAAGAGATGGCGCTGCCTTGCAGCTTTAGAAAGGCTAGAAAAAATTCGACACGGCCGTCAGTGCCACGGTAGTATAATGCTCAGTATATTCGCCCGAATAATGAAGGGTGCGGGTTCGAGTCCCGTCTGGTGCCTTGTCCGCGTGGAATGTTTTCTAGTAAAATTTTCTTTCGATTTAAACATGCTTAAAAAATATAAAAATTTACTTTCGGGTAAGTACATAGATTTTGACAAATTGGTATATTTGAAAATAGTTTACATCCGTTCTAAAGATTAGGTTACACTAAACGTTCGGACACATACATCAAATTGACGCAATTCACATTGAATTACCGATTAATAGCGCAATCACACTTGGTCGTTAGCCCGAATACGATTGCCTATGGAATTCGGACAAACGACTAAGTGTAAATGAACGGAGTCAAGAACACCCGTATTCGGACAGTTTTCTTTTTGGTTAACTGACGCCGTCTTCCAGTCCGTGTTCGAGTAAAAACAATGTTAATATTGCATCGGGTGCCCGAATTCGAGTAATGTCTTTCGTGTACCTGTATACGGGCTAACGACCAAATGTAAATACGCCATAAGATAAATTTTGGATAAATAGATTCAAAATTCAAAAAATTCAAACTCATTTATTCAGTCTAGGATGTTACAAGCTCTTGTGAAAGTCAAACGCTACGCCATCGGTTCGTAAATCTACGGCGGGAGACCTTGTACTGAGAAGAACCGGCAAGAAACTCAGCAAGGGCTATTTTTTTCTCCCTGTTTTGTTTCATACAGTGTCGCCAATTGAATTGTCGACATCAAAAATTTAATACATGTGTTGATGTCAACTTCCATCACATTAATATTATTAATTAACAAAAGTTAAGTATAGCTAGGTACTATTTTTAAATTTAGAAGTGGCGATTAAACAATTTTCAACCAAATTAGCAAAGTAAAACGACAGTCTATTATGTTAAGCCCAAGGTGACTTATCATTTATGAAATCTTTAACAGTATAGTAACCTTTCTTAAGAAGACATGTTTTTATACACACTTTAAACTGATTAAAAGGTAAATTAATTATTTGTTTTGGTATTTTATTATAGTAACATATACCTTAACCCACAAATGAACCAAGAACCTTTTGGAGTCTCAATGGTGGCAATTTATATATAATCTTTATTTCTGGTATTGAAATTATGTACATCATCGCGCCTCGTATATAAATTTATGTTCTGACGCACAAACAATATACAATTGTAAATGTATTGAGAGGTAACAGTCATTATACCTATTTCTTTAAATTTATCCCTAAGAGAAGTTCGAGATCCCAAGCGGTAAATAGCTCTTATAGCTCGTTTTTGAAGAATAAAAACTGTTTCAATGTCAGCGGCCGTGCCCCACAGTAGAATGCCATACGACATAATGCTGTGAAAGTAGCTGAAGTATATTGTCCTAGCAGTGTCGACTGTAAGCCGTCTTATTTTATAAATTGCATAAGCAGCAGAACTTAGTTTACCGGCTAGTGTTGTAATGTGAGGGTTCCATTGAAGTTTGTGGTCTAGTGTTACGCCTAAGAAAACGGTTGTATCGACTAAATTTAGTTTTTCACCATTTAGAATTATATCCCCCATTTCAGCATGCTATACATTCGGCAAAGTAAATTTTACACATTTAGTTTTGCTCGCATTCAGTTTAAGATTATTAGAAGAGAACCAGTGAAGTACCTTGGAAAGTGCATTGTTTACATCGTCATAATTTGTTTTACACCTGTCAAAGTGAAAAATTAGCGAGGTGTCATCTGCAAACAAAACAATTTCACAAAAATTTTCTACAAAGAAAGATAAATCATTAATGTAAATTAAAAAAAGAAATAGACCTAAAATTGAACCCTGAGGAACGCCTATTTTCACATGAGATCCGGCTGATTTTGTGCCGTTAATATCAACTATTTGTGTCTTTTCAGTTAAATATGATTGCACTAATTTTTGTGCGGAATCTTTTTTTATTTTTTTATGTTATAGGGGGCATACGAGCAGACGGCTCACCTGATGGTAAGTGATGTCCGTCGCCCATGGACACTTGCAACACCAGGAGTATCACAAATACGATGCCGGCCTTTAAGGAAGGAGTACGCTCTTTTATGCCGTAATAATTTAATTTCCGTAACAAAGTTTGATGATTAACGCAATCAAAGGCTTTAGATAAATCGCAGAAAACCCCAAGAGCATTCTGCGACTTTTCCCAAGCATTAAATATATATTTTAGCATAGTGGCCCCAGCATCAGTCGTGGAATGGTTTTTAGTGAAACCGTACTGCGCTCTGTGTAAAAGTTTATTAATGTTAAAATGAGTCAACAATTGTTCTAACATTATTTTTTCAAAGATTTTACTCAATGCTGGTAATATAGATATTGGCCTATAGTTGCTAGGATCTTTACAATTTCCAGACTTAAATAAAGGTATGATTTTACTGAATTTCATAAGATCAGGGAATACTCCCTGATCTATACATGAATTAAAAATATCAGCTAGGTAAGGGGCTATAGAATGTATAATATTATTTATGACTTTGACAGATAAACCACATAAATCAGATGCATTTTTCAATGAATGGAAAACTTTAATTATTTTAAAAGAACTAACGTGCTTGAAATTAAATAAAAACCACACGAAGGTACATATTTTTGTAACAGAGCTGTAGCAGTATCAGACGATGAGTCCAAGTTGGAAGTAGTTTCTAATGGTATATTCATAAAGAATTTATCGAAAATATCTGCGACTTCATGTTTCGATTTTATTAGATTATTATTGATTTTAAGAACCATCCCAAGTGGTCTTTATTTTATTATTAGATTTTTTAATTTTATCCGTAATAAAATTTGACTTTTTTTGATTAAAGGACTGAGGCATCTTTTTGCCCGTGAAAAATATAGAATGTAAATACCAAGTAGGTGAATATTGTAAAAATAATTGCACTCAATTTCTTGTTTTTCTTTGTTTCAGATATATATTTCGTGCCGGTAGTCAATTATTTGATCTTCAACTGTGGAGACTATTCCGGCAGGCTGGTAGCTGGGTTCATTTTACGAGTAGTATTTTAATAATTACTATAGCAAATTTTGTTCACAGGAAACTATTAAGAACGTAATGCCATCCTAAATAAGTTCCAGTTTGGGGATATATATAAAGATATATATATATATATCATCATCATCAGCCTATTAATGTCCCCACTGCTGGGGCACAGGCTTCCCTATGGATGGAATAGGGAGATTGGGCCATGACCCACCACGCCGGCCCAGTGCGGGTTGGTGGGTGCTAACGACTGCAGATGCAGCCGGGACCAACGGCTTAACGTGCCTTCCGAAACACGGAGGAGCTCGAGATAGTAAATTATGGTCACCCATCCAATGACCGACCACTGCGAAAGTTGCTTAAATTCAACGATCGCTGCGGAACGCGCTAACCACTTGCGCCATCGAGCTCCTCCTCCTCCTATATATATATATATATATATATATATATATATATAACTTTTCATTTTAACCAAGTTTACAACAGTAAAGTAACTTAAGATTTGATTAAGATTCTGCATTTTCAGCTACTAATTTCAACTGCCTGAGTAGATTTATAAAAATCAAGACATTAACATTTGTTAGTGAAAATATTATTCTTTTTTTAAATTGTTGTCGAGTGAAATGAAATGAAAAAGTCATTTATTCAGCCAGGACAAGCAGTGCATTTTTTTTAGTGAGCCCACACATAACTGCGAATTTGTATCGCATCCCAAATATCTGAGTGATCGCACGAATGCACCGCAAGAACTTCCGGTCTGATTCGCATCGCGCATTTTACGTCCCACTTGGTGACGCCAGTTTAGTCCGCTCTGATAAAACAGTTAGGGAAAGACGAAACTCAAAAGCTCTTTAAATAAGATATGATCATTCTAAAGTAATTCTAAAATTTTTCATCTTCTTTTCTCAAACCACAAAAAAATCAAAAGCATGGACGGAGGTACATACTCATACAGACATACTCCGTGCTCCATGCTTTTGAAGCAATTTAATGTCGATTTGGTTTGAATTTTCGCAATTGTTGTAAACCAAAGTTTAGTATTTGCGAGAAAAATAGTTCCCATCAGCGTTCATAATAATCGTAATAAATGGATGAACCCAAAATCTTATTTTTCTTCTATATCTATTTGACAATAACAGCAGTGCAACAATATTTTTGCGATTCATGTCACTATTACTAAGACACGTCCAATACGTTGACACGTACACTACCGTTGAAGGTACCTTAACCAAAGCTTTGCCGCATGAAATCGTATCGCAGCAATTTGCGATGCGACGTCGTATCACATCGCATCGCAGTTTTGTGTTTCAGACCATACTCTCAGTCTTTCATGCTTACGTTCCTGTGTAGGCAATAAATGTAAAGTCGTCTTGAGCACTCGTCTAGCTGCCCTGTCGTCCGACAAGCATATTTGTGATGTCTCTCCCACATCTGCGTCTATTGCCACGAAGCTTCGTATATTATAGTGTTACGTGTCGGGATGGGGTTCGAAATTATGTGCCAGTTCACGCTTGACAGTTCTTTATTCACCACACAGTTCACACAATGTTAATTACAAAACACTCACTAAACACTATTTCACTATACACCGTCATCTGCGTAGTACCTTCTTATATTTGTTTCGAGAGCGTTTGAGACAATATAACACATCTCCTGATTTCGCAGTCGGACAATATAGAAACTGGAAGTACATACTCATCATGATAGTGTTCGCCTGCACCAACAGGTATCTCACTAACCTCGTCATGATACAAAGCTAGACGTTATTGATGCACTTTTATTATTAATCGATTGAAATAAGGTTGCCAGGTCGACAAGTCTGTTTTAAAATGTCGGTATTTCGGGATTGTTGTCTGGAGATTTACATCAGTCATTGTGGTACAGGGTTAACGTCATGTTAGTTTGTCAGGAGATTTCTTTATTTGTCGGGAGTCTGGTCATCACATAATATATCGGGATAATACTACTATATTGATTCTAAGTGTTATTAGTTTAACACTTCCCGATCATATGGCGATTCTAGATTGGGAATCTATCATCAATGGTTGCACCGTGACACGTTTCTTGGTTCCGCAGCCGGACAACCGGCTAGTGGGTGATAGCCGGCGCAAGTCTTGTGCGTATAGTGGGCGTATTGTGGTACAGGGTAAACGTTAAGTATAAAGTATTCGAAGTCTGGACATCACAGGATATGGCGGGAGTGCTCAGACGCTTCCAGACAATCTGGCGACCCTAGATTGAGTATCTATCTTCAATAATTGCACTGTAACACATCTCCTGGTTCCGCAGCCGGATAACCAGTGGTATAGTGCCCGTGCTTTTCCTCTGAGACTTAGATTACATACTGATTATGAAAACGGTTGCTTTCACCAACGGGTACCTCACTAACTTCGTCATGAGACAAATTGATGTACTTTACGTTGCCCAAACTTTAGGCATCTGTTAATGACTGGTCAGCAAAGTGGGATTTAAACTTGATGGCGGTTGTGAAGTTAGCTCAAGTCGCGGCGCAATAAACTAAATGTAGCGTGACGAAGCCGCACGCACGATGTAACTGAACTGAAACCAGCGCATAGTTGCGCTCGCTTCAAACTTCATAGCAATCGCACTATAACACACCTCCTGGTTCCGCAGCCGGATAACCAGTGGGCGATAGCCGGCGCGAGTATTCTCCGTATAGTGGGCGTGCCCATGTTGATGTTGTGCAACGCTCAGCCGCGTCGGCACCTGCCCGTGCTGTTCCTCTGGGACTGGGAGTATATACTGATCATGATAGTGTTCGCCTTCACCAACGGCTATCTCACCAATATCGTCATGATCAACTCTACAAGGTAAGTGACTTATGACCATTGTACACTACGTTGAAAATTAGGTTACGCACAAGGTAATAAAAATTTAACTATTTTTATAATCTTAAACATCCTTTACGGATATTAGGACAGAAATTATTGAACACTGCTTTTTTTTGCAAATATTATGCAGTCTAAAGGTATGAATAAAGTGCTATATGGTTCTTATCAGCAGACTTTTAATATCCCCACAGCTGGGGCATCGCCTTACCCTACGGATGAAATAGGGAAATTGTGCCATAACAAGACCCACCGTGGGACTCAGTGCGTGCGTATAGGTGGATGCTAACGACTGCAGACACATCTGAGACCATTAGCTTAACGTGTTTTCTCAAGCACGGATGAACTCAATATGATAAATTTTTGGTCACCTATCCTACAACTGGCCATCGCGGAAGTTCTTTAACTTCCAGGATCGCAGGCCGAACGCCATCGAACTCTTCGATATGAATTTAAGTAGATTGATATTTATTTCTAATCAGAATTCTGTTACCTACATACATATCGGTAGTTGTTTATTCTACGATATCTTTATTAGATAACACGCGGCTTGCATTATTAATAGGATGACCTAACTAATGTACATGTCGTAATTACCACAAGTCTATGTCGTATATACAAACTTATTGAGAAAAGTTCTTCTTTAACTAATTTTCTTTTGAATGCTAACCACTTCGCCATTAGCTTCAGCCTAGCAGCAGCAAAAGAAATAAATGCATAATAAATATTCCCAAGACACACCAATTAGTCTAACCCCCTAAGCACTATCTGGCGTCGTCCTAATTGGTAAAATTTGTACGATGACACGATGCTTTCTTGTCGTACGATGATTTTTAAACATACAGATTCCTTCAGAAGTGTCCTGGTTACTGCTCGTAAGCCATCGTACGAGCACAGGCATTGTTTAATAACGACCGTACGACGGGTTTTATCGTACGATTATGTAATAAAATACACCAATCTCTTGATGTCTTAATTGGTCGCGCGATATTGCAACACTGGTCAGCACTACTGAAAAACACCGGGGCAGCAACACTGAAAAAGGTTTCAGAATAGCTTATGCGTTCCAGGGTTCGCAGATTTTTAATTAGGTTATTTTGTGGACCGGCAGCTTACGATTTTTCTAAAATGGCGACTTATCCCCTGTTTCGTGACAGCATCGCACGATGGGCCTCGCGCTATCTATTAGGACACCTCTGTTCAATCATCATAGGATTATTTTCATCGCACGACGAGATTGCATCGTGTCATTATGCGACCGTGGCCATTTAGGACGACGCCTAAGGCTTGTGCTATGAGATAGTCGGTAAAGGATAGAAATACATCTAAATATCCATGATCACAGTACAAATGTTCGTATTCATCATACAAACCGGGATTCGAAACCAGGACCTCTTGAGTAAACGACACCTTGAATCCCGGTGTCCATTCCAATCCAACTCTGAAGTCGTCAATTGTTGTTGTTGTTTATGTAACAGTTGTTTGTTAACCTTTTTAAACCTTCAACCAGGGTGGTGGAACTCCATGAGCGAGAGAAGGCGTCTTCAGTAATCGCCACCATGCTGAGTGTGGGACTCACAGTTGGCGCAGCCGTTGGAATGCTGCTTGTACATTTCTTATAAACAACTGGCTTTCATACCAGGGTCTCGATTCTATTTAAAGTATAGGTTGCGGCAAACTTCTTGGGAAAACCACAGACTAATAATTTGCGCAGTAGATGTTTTTGTATGTAAAATTGCTATTGCGCAGGTTTCCTTGTCTCTATGGTCGTTGCTCAAGCCGTTTGCCGGGATATATCATAATAGCGTTTATTATGGTATCTCAGCAGTTTTGATTTTTGACACAATATTTTTACAAATATACTAAAATCAGGCTATACTCCCTTACTCATAATATGTTGTTTTTATCTATATGCATAATCATAATAAGTATTGAGACACGATGTTTACGTTAGGTTAGTAGAATGGACACCTAATTTTACCAACATTTATGGTCTTTAAAATTTGCCCCAAATACTGGGAAAATAGCCTTTCCATCAGAATCATATATATCCTTTGTCAGAATCATATAGTAATTTTGGACATGTAAGTATGTAGATAAATAGTGATATTGCGTATGACAGGGGTCGCCAACATGATAAGATACAAGATGTAAGTACTATAATAATTTTGAAACCTTGCGCTATGTTCCTATTACGTTTTTTATTTTTTTAACGAAATCTCATACAATATGTATTATTTTTATAGGAGGAAAAAGAATTTGAAATTGTTGACCATTATGTATATTTTTTATTATTATTTAGTCGAAAAATGTAAAACTAAAAATGTGAATATATATAATGTGATTTATATTAGTTGAGTATTGTATTTTTATTTGCTAAGAATCGTTTGACTGGTTGACCACCCCTGGTATATAATATGTATGATTTAAGATATTATGTATAATATAATTACGACATAATCCTTTTATCCTCAGCATCAGTAGACTTCTAATGAAGCATACGCCGTCCCTTTATTACCTGTAAACAGGATCACCTAGTAGTAGAAAAGAAAAAAATATTCTAGAAATATTGTTGATTTGAAGGATTTAAATAAAATTAAAAAAAGTACAGAATTACACAGCGCCTGTATGTATGTATATATAATAAACGGACAGCAGCTCGTCGGGTTGCAACAAAACGTCAACTTTCTTGAATTGATGTTGAACTATGAATAAGGTTCGAAACGAAACAGACTGCAAAATTTCGTCAGTTTTGAAAGGACTGATTTGATTTACTTATACCCAAAACAAGTAGTTTCTACTTAGTGGAGCGCAAGATAGCCATTATATAAAGATTAGTATTCATTTCACTCATTTAAATAAGACGATGATTTTCGTCCTTGACCGAGTGTAATAAATACAATATTTCCCTTTTAAAATCCAAATTTACTTTCAGTACATAACAGGTTGATAACATTATTAAATTTAACATGTGTTGATATGATATATGATATGTTTTATGCTGGAATGCTTTTATGGAAATTATACCAAAAATAATTATTTTTAAATTTAAACAATAATTTTATAATTCTTTTTATGAATTAAGATACGAAATTGATTTAATTATAGCAACATTTTATAATAAGGGCTTAGTTAATTTTAACGTTTAAATACGATGAACCTACATTTATGCTTTAAGTTTATTTTTTGTAAATACTTAGGTAATAATGTATATTTTTTAATATAAATATAATGGTCTTTGTAATCTCTAAATAACGAATTTATTTTATAGCATAAAGTATGATGCATTGTGCAAGTATAACTTAACCTAATACTTAGAATGAAAAATACATGGAGCAAAATGTTTTAAAGTCATACTCAAAACGTCAATTAAATGTAATCTTCTCAAAGTGGCAACGTCTCGATTTATTTTATTAGTTGTTGCAAATAAAAATCTACAAAATCAACTTTGACCGAACTTAAAACTGGGAAATGAACCCTGGCCGCCCACATAGCAGGCGTGCTTTCTACCACTGAGCCACGGACGCTTATTGATAAGGTCACATTTTTTTAATAACAATTTAAAATGAACAGAAATTTGCGAAATTTGCATTGCGATGTAATAAAAGTTTCACTTTAAAATATTTACTTGTTCTGAATGCTTTTTAATCTGTTACATTCCAAATGTTACTGCCAAGAAAATATACTTACTTAAATATTCTTTTGTTTAGCAAAAGGTTAAACAAATTATAAATGTATTTTTTTTGTTTGCTCAAGGTGCTACTGTGGTGTCAGATTTATTTACAAACAACATTAGTATTTTAGTGAAAAATGTATGTACTTACATAATTATTATTTAATGTAAGAAAGTAATTAATTATGTAATGAGACATTCGGGTCTAACCGATTGAACATAATGTCAAAATACTGTTCGTACTGATAATGGTTTGTAAATTAAATATAATACATATTAGTGCAGACAACCATAATTCAGATTTAAAACTGTTAAGGCACTTTAACTAATTTTGAGCTCTGTATAGTGTTTGACCAAATGTAGTTTGGACATACATTTAACAAATATATAGATATTACCAACAAAATGGTGTATGATCGACAACAAAACAAAACTTTTAAATAATTTAATATGTGTTGGGTTATGGGTGTTGTACCCCTAGCACGAACCATTATCGAATTCGAATGGTTTGAAGAGAGTGTCAAATGTCAATGTCAAATTTTGTATGGAATCTTGAACAGCAGCGCCAGAAAGTACGTAACGAGAACTATATATCAGTACACATTTCACAATGACATTTCGGACTCGCAAACGTTACGAATTCGATATTGGTTCGTGCTAAGGGTACTGTACGTTTTTGTTTACATTTAAGTATAAACAAGCATATTACTTTAAAGTAAGTATGACATATTGTCTATTTCACAAAGCGTTGTGAATAGACAATATGCCATAGACTTGTGAAAAAGTCGAATAGCACTCGAAGCTGCATATCGATGTTTCGTTTCAGCAGCTTGTCTAATTTAAGGGTTTTGTACTATATGAGACATTCACAAATTATGTTATGGTATTTTAGTCATATTTATCCTAATATGAACTTCTATGATTAAAAAAAAGAGTTATAAGTATATGTTGATTTTATGAATATTTTCTGAGGAAACATTCATATTAATTTAAGTAAAAATGTAACAATAAATTAAGCTTCAACGTGCCTCAATAGAGGTTATATTTATTTAATGACTTGTAATGAAATTGTGACTCACAAGAGAGATATCATAATCTCTTCAAAAATAAATGCATGCTGTTTCAATGATGGCAAATATTCCATTTGCAAAACAAAACCTGTTTTTTTTTTAATGTCTCCACGTTAGCTCCCCATTTCTGCAATTATTAAACCTTAACAATTTTAATTCTTATACATTTATTCAAGTACAACTACTTTTAAGATCTGCGTACTTTAAACGGATAATAATTCCCTAGGTGAAGCCGCACACCGGGATCATAAAGTACATACATGCACGCAACATTTACCTTGCCACAAAATGCACGCAACATTTACCTTGCCACAATATGCACGCAACATTTACCTTGCCACAATATGCACGCAACATTTACCTTGCCACAATATGCACGCAACATTTACCTTGCCACAGTATGCACACAACAAAAACTTTGCTACAATATGCACGCAAATTTTTTGCTTTCGTCTCGCTACAGACGTATCCTTGATGTGCGTGCTTACACGCAGATATATGAGGGCGATAAATGTGTCGCGTTTCAAATGTGGCGCCACAATTATCGTAATACAATTGTATGTCTGAACGTGCGGCCCGTATTTGTTCAGAGCCAGTTACATATTGGAGTTTCTTTAGTCAGTAACCCCCTTATTAATAAACGAAGAATAAGCTTGGATTAGTTACTCCGTAATAACTGCATGGTAACGGCTAAAAATGTACTACATACAGTAGATATGCTCGATGCTACACACGCACACATTGACTGCTTTCAAACAATCTGACAGAGTCACGAACATATTGCGCTTAACATGAGCGCGTTATTAAGGCCCGTATTACAGAATGACAACTAAGTGTTGAATTTACTTGAGTACAGTTTGAAAGGGATGTCGCTATGTGCTATATACCTATAGCGACATCCCTTTCTAACTATGCTCAATACTAGATCAATCACTGAGAATCATTCTATTATACAGGCCTTAGATTGCTCTATTTAGGTGTGTATATAATCAAAGCATTGAGTATTAATCACCATTTTCCTATACGGTATATATTCATAGTTACTCACAGTAACTGTAGTGCGAAAGAGCCCTTTACATTAAAAATATACAGGTAATTTGATTGTCTACTTATAATTGTTAATCAAAATATAATAATATTCTAAAGATTATAATCGATTTCTGTGAAAAATTATCTTAAAAGATATATTATTAAAATAAAATAAATTTTAATAATAAAAAGCTGTGTCACAGATCTCAGTTAATAATACATTTATCAAAGAAAAACCTATAAATATGTAGATAGTTTGTTAAGCATTGTAAATGTTAGCATCATGGACGTATAAAAAAAGGCGGACAGAGTTTCGGCTAAGACAATACTGAGGCACCGTAATGGCGGCGGCTATTGATGAGTGAGTAAATTGTAGGGTTGCTAGGTTAGCCAATTTTTTACCAATAAAACACAGTAAAAACATGAAAATATTTTGATTGTTCAAAATTTTACTTTTTGCCCGACTGCGGAGGATAATGTTTTTCGAGCGTATGTATGCATGTATGTATGTCCAATAATTTGTCACGCCCTACAGCCTGAACGTCTTGACGGATTTTGATATGCGAGGTGTCATTTGATTTGTCGTGATTGTGTGAGTGGCACTCGGTATATTAAAATTTCAAAAAATCAAAATAACAGATTTTATGCGCCAAAATGAAACATTTTGAAAAAAAAGTATAAGTATTTTTATAACCCGTCAAGCGAGGTATCAAAGTGAAGGGTTTTAAAAGAATATTTAGAAAATCTACAACTCGTGTAATTAAAAAATAATGAAATTAAAATGTCGAAAATAAAAAAAAAATGTACTAAAAAAACAAGTCCAGTAGTTTAGAATTCTGTTTAATAAGGAACAAAGTTACATTAACAGTCGGGACTCTTTAGAAATTCCAGAATGTATCGAATTTTCTCAATATTGGGTAAATCAACTAAATATACATGGCCTGGCCTGCAATCTCTTTCATATTTCCTAAAATAAACTAACACCCATTGAGTACTGTTTGTAATTGAGGAGTTCCATTGTTTTCCTCCGAAAGTACTCATCAGATCTCCAGTAAACTAATATGCAGCCATCTCGCTAGTAAACTGATTAAAACAAAAAAAGAATCATCATAAACGGTCCACGAATCTCGGAGATCTGCTCGAACAACAATAAAAAAAAACAAATATGACGCATTGCGAACCTCTTTCTTTTCGAAGTCGGTTAAAAATTTTAATCAACCTTTTGAGGTAATGCATACGTAATAACACGCCGGAGTCCTCCTTTAGTTGTATATAAGTCTTGAGCTTCAAAATGAAGACTAAAAATGACACCTACTACATATTTGTTTGGAAATCATTCATTTTCCAGTAATTTCTCCATACTACATTTTCTTTAGGAAATCTGATAAAAAAGAATAATAAATAATAGATTGAAGTTAATGTCAACCCAATTTCCCAAATTTTAGGTAATATGGTTACATGAACATTGGCAACACTGGGCTTTAGACTAATCATTTTGTCCTTAGAATTAAAATTGATTTCGCTTTCTAAAAACTAGAAAAAAGTGATTCAATTATTCATTTACCTATGAAACGTGATTCCTGGATTTTTTTTCTTTCGGTCACTACGGTTTTTACACCTTTTTACAAGCAAGATATCTTGTTTAGCTTATTTTTTATCTCCACGTAACGTGTCGGCTGCTTTGACGTTTGCACGCGTAGTGGCTGACTATTGTGTGAATGTGTGCGTGCCGGCTTGTACGTACAGCGACCTGGCCGACTCTGAGCGACACAGTTTATTGTTTACCGGGACTCTGTCCGCCTTTTTTTATAAGTCCATGGTTAGCATAGTCTGAAAATGTTTAGAATTGTACCTGATTTTTGTCTCAATTTTAACCATTTGTCTAACTTTTGATTATTTATATGTAATAATAATTTTGTATACCTTATTATGATTTATGTGATATTAATTTATGTTGGTACTAATTGTAGCTGCTATAATTTATTTATTGAGATTATGAAATGAATTCTATCCTCAATATTATCATAATTTCATCGTGTTTATTGGAACAATGTATGTAATCTATTAAATTTCCAAAAATACATATATTTACAGTTAACGGTTGATTTTATTTTAATTTCCTGACCTTTTTCTTATTAACTTGTTATTAACAAGTAAAAGTTAAGTTATTAAAGTCTAGAATATCTATAGAAGAATTTGTGGACAATTTCTAATATTACTATACATCAAGATTAGTGGTAGGTAGTTATTATGTCCAAAGCAAGTTTATACTACGAAGAAAAATTAACCGGGGCACTCGAATCAGCGGCTTACGAAATGCGGGCGAATGCTATAACCGCTAAGCAGACATGTCGAATTTATAGTATTTTGGGATGCAAGAAAGCAGCATCATGTTTGGGCGCTGGTGGACGATTTCTACTCGGGTCTAGGCATGATTTTAAACCGTTTATGCGTCCGGCAAGGACGTATAAAAAAAGGCGGACAGAATTTCGGCTAAGACAAAAGTGAGGCACCGTAATGGCGGCGGTTATCTATGAGTGAGTGAATGCAGGGTTGCTAGGTTAGCCAATTTTTTACCAATAAAACACAGTAAAAAGATCAAAATATTTTAATTGTTCAAAATTTTACCCGACTGCGGTGGATAATGTTTTTCGAGCGTGTATGCATGTATGTATGCCCAATAATAAGGCGCCAAAATGAAACCTTTAGAAAAAAAATGCTTATAACCCGTCAAGCGAGGTATCAAAGTAAAGGGTCTTAAAAGAATGCAGTGGATCCCCGGTAGTCCGACAAACATTTTGCAGGGCAGTGTCGAACTATCGAATTTGTCGGATTATAGAGTACCTTGTAATCCGACAAATTACAGATCCAATGATAAGATTACAAAACATACTTTGTTATGTATGTCAAATTTAGTAAATTAAACAACACAATAGAAAGATTATGTTTTATTATAAAAGTAACGTCAAATGCTATAGAATTTACAAAAAAATATAAAAAACAATACCCTACGCGTCGAGCACAATTGTGATGGTGCGTACAAGTTGTAACTTGTTCAATCGTGAATTAGCGAATACTTGTATGTAATAGACGATGTCGGATTATAGGGGGTGCCGCATTAGCCAGGGGCCGGATTACCGGGGCTCCACTGTATTTAGAAAATAGGTATGCAAATCGTGTACTTAAAAAAAAATCGTGTTGCACTCGGGGACTGCCGCGGTAAAGCTATTGCATAGCATTATTTGTCAACTTATGCAATAATACTATTTATTTATGCAGTATTTTTTTTCTTTGATATTAATTCAAGTTTTTTCTCTGATATTAATAGATGGCGAGGCAGGCCTTATGATATTTTATTGGGCAAGCACAGCAAACAACAGCATTGCCCGGCGCCAAAAAACTTCCACATGCTCCACAGTTTACCACCTTTAGTCCAAAAATTATAATTATAAAGTCTAAATAAAAGGGAGACGAATAAAAATAAGAACAGGTGCTGGGGTCTAAAACAAATATATAAAAAATGGAAAAAAAATATAATAAAAAATAAAACACGAGTGCGGGATTTGAACCGACGACCGCGGTGATGCGTCGAACGTTGGTCCCGTGGCAAAAATTTAACACACTGCACCGTTTCGATCGATACTGGAAAGGCGAAAATTGTGTTCATACGCACTGTTTTTAAGTTGGCATTGATCGAAATGTTTTGTTTAAATATTATCGTTAGTAATATTATTTATCGTTGAAAATATTTTAAAACTTTTGTTTCATTGTAGGTTTTTTTAAATAATCAAAGTTAATTCAAACTATTATATATAACAAATATTGACTTTTTTTATATTCCACTTTTTTTTCAACACTGAACTTAGCGCACTTTGCTGGTGCATTTGAAAACTAATTCACGTTCCAATTAATCATCAGCATAATTCGGCATTGGTAGCCACTGAGTCGCATTATGCTCTGTAATTGGAAAACTAACATGAAGTCTGTTTTTATTTTTGTATGAAAAAGTTTATATTTTCCACTTTTCATAAGCCAGAGTAAATCACCTAAATATGCCTGGCCAGGCCTGCATTCTTTTTTATATTTCTTAAATTAACAAAACATGCATTGAGTACTGTTTGTAATTGAGGAGTTCCATTGTTTCCCTCCGAAAATACTCATCAGCTCTGCACTTAATTAATACAGCCATCTCGCTAATAAACTGATTTAAACAAAAAAATAATCATCAAAATCGGTCCACGAATCTAGGAGATATGCACGAACAACAATTGAAAAAAAAAAATAACAAATATGACGTATAGAACCTCTTTCTTTTTGAAGTCGGTTAAAATTTTTAATTTACTTTTTGAGGTACTGCATGCGTAACAACACGCCGGAGTCCTCTTTTAGTAGTATATAAGTCTCCAGCTTCAAAATGGATACTGCAAATGACACTATATTTATTTGGAATCCATTCATCATCTCCGTTACAATTCCTAATAACTTGGATCCAGTCATTTCTCCATTCTACATTTTCTTTAGGGAATCTGATAAAAAAGAATAACAAATAATAGATTGAAGCTAATGTCACCCCAATTTCCCATATTTTAGGTAATATGGTTACGTGAACATTGACAACACTGGACTTTAGATTAATTATTTTGTGCTTAGAATGAAAATTGATTTCGATTTCTAAAAACTAGAAAAAAGTGATTATATTGTTCATTTACCTATGAAAATTGATTCCTGGATTTTTTTTCTTTCGGTCACTACGGTTTTTACACCATTTTACCACGCAAGACATCTTGTTTTAACTTATTTTTATCTCCACTTAACGTATCGGCTGCTTTGACGTTTGCACGCGTAATGGCTGACTATGGTGTGAATGTGTGTGTGCCGGCTTGTACATATAGCGACCTGGCCGACTCTGAGCGACACAGTTTGTTGTTTGCCGGGACTCTGTCCGCCTTTTTTTATACGTCCATGGCGTCCGGTGTTCATTAATGGGACACTATGGAGATAATGTTACCGACGGTTTGAGGTCGGTCAGTGGCGTAGCATAGGTCACTAGCACCCGGTGCGGATTCCAAATTTGCCGCCCTCTTATTTTTGCAATCCATTATAAAAAAATTGAGGCATGGTAAAAAGAGTACTTTTATTGAATAACACTAACCTAAGTATCACTTTTTTTTATATTTTAATTTTTTTTCTCTATCTGCCACCTCCGCAGCGCCGCCCCCGGCAAAGTGCCGCCCGGTGCGGACCCCCCCCCCCCCCCCCCCCATGCTACGCCACTGAGGTCGGTACAAACGTGAACAAGCTTAGCTCGGTACAAATCGGCTAAACAAGCACCCACAACATTAATCATTCGAAAGAATAAATAGCAATAATTGTAGTTTTTGAAGTTATACTTCTTTAGGCGCGTTATGAAAATATGACGAGAGTGAAATTTTAACATGCGCGCGCATCACTGTAACACAAAAGTAACACCATGAAGTTCGCCGCTAAAGCGCACATTGAAGAAAAGCTACCAACAAAATAGAAATAGAATCTCTATTAGACGTGCATGTTGGCACGCTCGTCGCCTCTGATCACTGTTTTCATATTTATAATATTTATCCGCATGTTTCTAGTTTCTATATTCACAACACGTGTTTTAGTTTCATACAAGTGCGAATTAAATATGTGCTAATAAATTATATTCAGTACAGATTTAAATTGAATATTTTGATTATAAATTAAATTTTTTAATTAAAAGTGAACTTAATTGACTGTTTTGACTATCCTTTTCCAATCCCTTTATTATTTTTTAGTAATTATTTGCATGCAACTAAAAACTAATGTTTAATGATGCCAAAGCAGTATAACTTCTCACACGCGTATATAAGTAGGTACACGCAAGGATTTCTTTTTTGTATTATGTTTGCCTAAGCATTGCGGTCTTACTACAAAAAAGTTAGTCACGGTTTCAAACCTCGCTTACAGTGCGGCCAAGATTTTTATGAGCCCGAGTGACAGTTCAGGGAGGGCGCCACTGTCTACGTAAATGGCATACAAAATATGAGTTTTACAAAGACGGTGGCGTCACTTCTAATTTTGACCACATTCTCAGATCTTGGTCGCAGTATAGGCAAATTGTGTATGTATTTTTTCTTAAACGTGTTGAGAAAAAATTTTTCATAGAAAATATTTTTAAAAAACTACTTTTTACGAGAAAGCTACTACGACGAAAACGTAACTATTACTTTTTACGAGAAAAAATATATCTTGAAAATATTTTTTCTAGTAAAAAGTAAAATAATAAGTAGATCTTATATTAAAATCGATAGGAGGGACAAGGAAAAACAAAATATCCAAATATCATAAACCATTTAATATAAAAAAAACTATACAAAACATCATAAAATCTTATCATTACAACTAACCGTATAAATGGACCACATAATTCATAAGTACAGTAGATAAAATTAACATTATCCCTGTTCATTTTTATTCTAATCAAAACATAGGGAATTAGTGAGTCTTTTTAATTGATTAATTAAAAAAATATTACTGTCTAACTAGACTGTAACGACGTGCACGGTTTTTATATACTTAAAAATAATGGACATCTTTGAAAGGCAAGCCAATAGGCAAGATGGTGGTTAAAATGAGCAAATTTTTACTTATTTATATTTATACTATAAATTCAATTCTCTTAACCGGGGACAGTATTTATTAAAATCATCAGATCTAGAGGCACGGTACAAAGAGACTTCTATCATTAGAAAATTTGTCGCGATCCAAATGCTACTGATAGGAGTATGATTTTTTTGGAGGTTTGCTTATTGCGTTGTCAGATTTTAACAATTGTAAATTAGATCGCGTCACGATATCGTAGTCCGGCCACTGTTTTTCCATTGACATTATAAATGGGATTAAATTCTTATTTAGTTTTTAACGAATTTGCGACTTACATGTGTCATAAAATTAGACCAAATATTAGCACTACATAATTTGTTCAATTGATGTTAAAAGGAAAAAAATACATTTTGAATATTAATCAGTAGGAGGAATAATGTACACCAATAATAAATTGTATTATTTACCATCAATATAAAAGATGTTATTAATATAATCGATAAATAGATTGTAAGGCATATGAGCACCAGTTATTTTACAAACACGTTCTTTTGTATCAGTTATTGTAACTAATTTAAAAAGGAGGAGTAGGCAATGATTTTTTTTGTATCCCATTGTGACTAATAAACATTCATAATTATCATTAGTAAATAAATAGTCATATACTTCAATATAAACAATGATATTGACTTTATGTGCCTAAACATTTGTTTAATGTGGGATAAAATAGTTTTCCAATATAAATAAATCTAATGCCACTCGTAAAGAAAGATAAAATAAAATACTTCGATTATTAATTGAAATAACATTGACATTACAAAGACACTGCTTATTTTTATGAAAATAATGCTAAGATTGAGGACTACCAACTTTTAGGTGCCATTCTAGTAGTGTTTGTTTTCGTAATAAATATTAATGTTTCTTATAAGTTACATAATTTAAAATGTATATAATTATTTATCTACTTGGATATAAAACTTAGCAAATAGGTATATTTATTCGAACATTTAACACCAACTATCACAATTAATTTATAGGTAACTAACTAAATGCCGCTTGGAAGCTTTCAGAATGTCACTTTTAAAAACAAATAAAATATAATATTGTTCATAATAAAGCGTTGCGTTACAAATTCATAATTTATTTGTGACATTTCAAATCGCATTTCCTTCCAATATCTGAGTTCCAGACCAAATATCTGAGTCTATAACTTCACAAATATTTAAACCGAGCTTCCATTCTGAAAATTCCAAGCGGCTTCTTAACCTGTATTGGGAATTTAGTCTTTATTGTTCATAGATTTAAGGCTTATCTTGTGGATTTGAGTTTCCAGCGCAGGAACAGGAAGGCGGAGACCCGAAGCACCACGAATATGAGACAGAGTGCCGCAATATCCAGCCCGATGTCTGCGTCGATCATGTCCAATTCTTCCAGAGTCGTCTCCGGATTCTTGAAGTGGCAGTATGTCTGCGTAGAACGAAACAAATTAGTATTTATGTTTTATTTTTTAAGCATTTAACTGCTAGATGTTTAAATCTAAAAATTGAAAAAAGTCAAAATTCAAAATATCTTTATTCAAATTGGAATAAATAAAAGTTTACTAGAAAAAAATCCACGCTGACCAGGCAGCAGATGGGATTCGAAACCACACCCTTCGCTATCCGGGCTAATGCACTGACCATTATGCTTGACGGCCCTGACGGCCGTGTCGAATTTTCTCTAGCCTTGGGCTGCAAGGCAGCGCCATCTCTTCGCATTGTACGTTACCCACAATCTCAAATAAATCTTGACGGCCCGGACGGCCGTGTCGAATTTTCTCTAGCCTTAGACCGCAAGGCAGCGCCATCTCTTCGCATTGTAGGTAACCCACAATCTCAAATGAATACCTTTACAAGTATTAAACATTTGAAAGAAGAAATAGCAATTATAGTTATGTTTTTATTTTTTAAGCATTTAACTGCTGGATGTTTAAATCTAAAGAAAAGTTTACTAGAAAAAAATCCACGCGGACCAGATAGCAGACGGGACTCGAACCCGCCGAAGTTACCCTATGTTTGTATTTGTTTTTGTTTGTTCTTCGTTCCCGATGAGAGTATCCCTTCAACTGTGTAAGCAATATAGAGCTCAAAACCCTGTCTGTGTTAGTAGGTATAGTTAACATAATTTTGTTTTTCAAGTCGGAAAATAAAATAAAAAATCCAGCCGATTTTCCTCTTATTATTTGAGTTGTATACTGTACATCCAGGCATCATTTATGTCTTAGATCAGTCCTAAATAGCTTTTTTACAAACTTATCTATATATATATTAAATGCGTAAATTAAAAACCATTACTAAATATGATAAAATTATGAAAAACGGAAAGATAATTTTTAAAATTCGTGGCAGCAATCTGCCATCTCGACAGACAGGGGTTTTTTTGACGTTGCTTGGCAGAAATCTGGCATTTGCACAGAACTGGGGGTATGTTTGATTTTAAGGGAAGCAAATGTTTGAAGTTTACTGTTTCATAAGTAGGGTTACCATTCGTTGAGATTTATGCGGACTTGTATATTTTTGTCTGGTTTCTTTAAGCTTAGTATACATATGTATAATGAAAAGTATTATCATAAAAAACGACAAATCAGTATTTATTTTAGAATCCAACACCTACTCGATTTTTGCATTTTGTGACCACAACGTCCGGAATTTATACAAAATACGGATTATTAATGGTCACCCTACGCACAAGTTTAATGTCTTCAAATCCATATAAAAAAACGAGCGAGCCTTACAGTAGTCTCGTATGATGTGTAACATATGAAACCTCACCTTATATTAGTAAAAAAGGAATAAAACCTACAACAAAAGGAATAAGCCATTTGAACATTATGTTCTAAAATCCAATCAAATAGCGCGCGCTTCCCAAACTTCCTGTTACACACTTCCGTCCCACTTCACGTAATCACTTGTTGCCACCCCACGAAAGCGAGAAGAAAGATATTACACATCAACAAGTAATTACTTGTTGTTAAGTAACCAAGTAAGAGACTAGTATTCTTCAATAAAACAAAATTATGACTTAGCAACGAAAACGGTGACTAATCCTTGGTTAAGAAATCTCATTTTTACCAGTTCCTACTTTGATACGACTCGCAACTGATGTTAAACAGAAATATCTTGACGACCTCCGTGGCCGAGTGGTTTGTACGCCGGGTTTCATGGTGTCGCCGACTCGAGAGGTCCCGGTTTCAAATCCCGGTGGGGGCAGATATTTGTGTGATGAATACGAGCATTTGTACTCCAGTCATGGATGTTTATTATGTATTTCTATAGATGTATTCTATCCGTTACTCTAGTATACCATAACACAAGCCTTACAGTGCTTACTTTTGGGCTAGGCTAATGAGGGCTACCGTTTTCTGCCTCACCAGATGGCGCCACTGTTGAGTGAGGTCCTAAATTGTAACTTTTAAAGTTTATTAATACGCACATGAAATCAAAGGTTACATTTAGATCGTATTTTAACACAAAAGAACCATATCCTAAACATAATAGGTCATGCCACAGCGACGCGCAGTTCCGTTTTATTCGGAAAAAATGGGAACATAATCATTTTTCTAAGCTCAAATTTTTAATAACTGACATTCATTGCCACATAACTCATATTTGCCATAATTAAGCCGAATTGTTACCAATTATTCACAACGTTATTTTAATTAGACATAAACCCGTGTAGTCAACCAACAAGCAATAACATTTGACTTTTCGGAGACCTCACGCTACACTAGCGCCTCTAGCGGCGGATTCATACGCGATAGCCCTCATTGGTGTGAGTGTTAGAAATACTTATTTATTATTTATCTCTATAATTGCTATACAAATAAGATTGATATTAGCACTCACCTGATGGCACTGCAGTTTGGGCCTGTCGAAGGAATACGTGGCGAGTGCGGTGCCTTCGAACCCGTATCTAATATACGAGAGATACGTGATCCAGCGTAGATATTTTGGTATAGCGTTGAATGACACGAAGAAACCGCTGAATAGAAGGAATGGCACCGACATCACGGGAGCGAGGAACACGCCGTTCTGATAATTGAAAATAATTAATAAATAAATTATAATATACTAGTTGAGGCGCTGACGAACAAAACAGTATAATAGGGTATTTGACAAGTTTTAGAAAACGATCTCACGTTATTTACTAATGTTTATGGAGTCCGTAAAAAGATATTCATCATTCTGTTGTGTATTTCAGTTTAAATAACCAAATCAAAAACTCCATGTTCAAGTTGCCTCGAAAACGTTTCTCAGGACAATATGGCGTCTCACTGGTGTGTGACGTCACACGACTGTCATTAAAACGTCAAACGATACAATGTTATGTCACTTTAACCGGAAGTTTACTTGCGTGTGACGTCATTTTAGCCTCCGCCAATCCCATGCGTTTTGGGTCACGTGACAATAGGCAATAAAACTATTGTCTTTATCGTGGGTTTTGAGTAAAATTATGAATATTTTTTTCTGTAAAAATAGTAAAAACTCCTGCCAATATTCATTCTAAATACAGATGCTAACAATCGGCACTTTATTTTTAATACTGTCAAATACCCTGTTATACCGTTTTGTTCTCCAGCTCCTCATATATAAAAATCAATTGCTGTTCGTTTGTCTCGTTAAAACTCGAGAACGGCTGACGGATTTATCTTATGTTGGTCTTGAAATGTTCTTGGAACTCTAGGGAAGGTTTAAAAGGTGAGAGAAATTCGAATTCTACACTACAGCTCTACACCAAAGCGAAGGCGGGCCACTAGTATGACAACCTCCGTGGCCGAGTGGTTTATATGCCGGGTTTCATGGTGTCGCAGACTCCAGAGGTCCCGGGTTCGAATCCCGGTGAGGGCAGAAGTTTGTGTGATGAATACGAGCATTTGTACTCCAATCATGGATGTTTAATACGCATTTATATATAATAATATACTTATATATATACAGTATATGTATTCTATCCGTTACCCTAGTATCCCATAACGCAAGCCTTACAGTGCTTACTTTGGGGCTAGGCTAATTGGTGTAAGTGTTGGAAATATTTATTTATTTACTAGTAGTTCATATTATAATGTGTTACCTGAACATTCATAGCGGCGCCGACGACCAAACCAACACTCTGAGCGACGAACGATATCAGCAGACACGAGGACAGGAACATCGCGAACCGGAACCAAACCGGAGGTTGTGACGTCAGCAGGTATACGATCACTACGTAGATCACGCAGAATATCGCCTGCGAGACAAACAGACAACGCAACAACTTTAGAGTATTTAAAATTTGAATTTTTTATGCATTTAACTGCTTGATGTTTAAATCTAAAGAAAATATTACTAGAAAACCAGGCAGCAGACGGGACTCCAACGCGCACCCTTCGCTGCCTTGCAGCTTAATGGAGGCCATACACGTTAGGTTGTGCATGATGGTTTTAACCGTGCATTCATAACCGAGTTACATGCACCGAAAACTGTACAGTTTTATCACATACACGTAAGGGTTTGCCTGTCGGTTATGCATGTTCGGCTAAAACCATCATGCAAAACCTAATGTGTATGGTCTCCATAAGAAAGGCTAGAAAGAATTCGACACGGCCATCAGGGCCGCGGTAGCATAATTGGTCAGTGCATTCGCCCGGATAGCGAAGGGTGGGGGTTCGAGTCCCGTCTGCTGCCTGGTCAGCGTGGAATTTTTACTAGTCATATTTTCTTAAGATTTAAATTTTAGAGTATGTTAAAACATTGGAAAAAAACGTTCAAATGTCGTATTACACACACATGCAAAAACAGACAACAACCATTATCGAATTCGAATAGTTTGCAAGTGCGAAATGTCAATGTCAAATTTTGTATGAAACTTGAACAGGAGCGGCACTAAGTTAGTAACGAAAACTAAAAATCAGTACACATTTGACAATGACATTTCGGACTCGCAAACGATACGAATTCGATATTGGTTCGTGCTAGGAGTACAGAAAGTATGTTTCAGGTTAAAACGTTAGAAAAATCCCCTAAACACACAAATGAACAACGTCAGGGAGAATTATTTACTGTTTTGAATGTGAAAAAGTATTAGTGAATTTTTCATTTATTGCCAATTTCACTCAGTTAGCCATCAAATTCGATGATGCTACCTATACAATGTTTTTACATTCAATAATACTAAAAATCTGATACATATTTCGTTTCTGTGAGGCTTGGGTTCTTATTTTATGGAAAATTAGCATTCTTCTCTCTTTGTATTGTTTAAATAGATTTTTCATGAAACTCAGCACAACAATGGAGAATGTCAGATTTTCATAGAAAGTTTGTCAATGATTGTGCTTTAATGAAGCTTGTACCAAACAATAGGGAAATAGCTATAAATTACGTAAGGAAAATATTGTCACATTATGCTATAGAAGTTTAGAGAAATCGTATCTCAAAGAAGTAAATTAGTATTATAATTAACCACAAGATTTGAGGGATGATTGATATCTGTCATAAAATTCCTTGCATACGTGATGGCAAAGAGAACAAAAAGACCATACAGTCTAAATGTTGACACCACAGATTATACTAGTCAAGTTGTCACCATGGATGAAGCATTGAAATCCTTTACAGATCACGAGTATTCAATATCTGATCCAACAAAAAATAGGAAAAACTTGATGCACTGCACTCATCTTTGAGTTTTATTGTTTACTTTAATGCCGGCACTTTACTTGGCTATTCGTGTTTGCTGTTTGTTAACTTGACATCTGTCTGTTCTTTGCATTCCTTATAAAGTATGACAAAGACAGACTGTTGATAAGTTTACGCATAGCAAATATAAAAAAAACACTGTAATTATTATTACTCTTGGATTTATACTGCTAAAACATTAACAAAATACTACCTGCTGCTGCCAAGAGAATTGTGACGTTCAATAGAACATGTCATAATGAATATTTTTCATTAGCTAATTTAATTAATAAAGTAATTTATTTAATTCTTTTTTATAATTTTGAGTTTATTAATTTGACCCTAACTACCGTAAACTACCACAGGTTCCAAAATTGGGAGACCTTTCTGAGAAGAACCGGCAAAACAAACTCAGAGAGGCTATCTATCTCCCTCTTATGTTAAATCATGCAAACAAAAAGAACTAATAGTATCTGCTGATCTTGCAGTGTGGACTCGGGGTTCAGATTTTATCTGTTGTATAATGGGTTCCCAAGCTGGTGGTATATACCAACCATCTTTCCTATTGAAATTTGGATATTTCTTAATCTCAATAGCTCCGCGTATCATTCTAGGAATGAATCGTTGTTCAGTTGCGATGATCTGTGGTTTATCAAATCTAATGTAATGGTTTGGTCCCCCCGACACGCACAATGGTCCAATAATTAGGACTAAGTGGAAACCGCCCTGAAGAACTAACTAACTTGGTCCCCCTAATGCATGTTAACGGTAGTTAGGGTCAAATAAATAAACTCAAAATTATAAAAAATATTTAAATAAATTACTTTATTAATTAAATTTGCTAATGAATTCAAGCATAGACAATAAAGTTTTAAAAATCTTCCAATGAAATATCCGAACGCTCAATAAAAGTCTTTCGAAGGTAGCTCGACAAAGTAAATACTTAATTAGAATTCAATAAACATCTCACCTGGAACGGTATATCGGAGACAGTGATGGCCAGATAGTAGGAACGTAACGAATACCAGCGGTTGAAGTGTTCCTTCACCAACACCGGCATCTCTAGCGGGACTGGAACAAAATATACAATTTGTCAGAGGAAAATGAACCTTTTCATAAATAGAAATAAGTGTCATTCTCTCTTCATTTCTCTTTCTTTCTCCATTTCCCTTTTCATTCAAATTCGTCAGCTGTATTTGCTCTAATAAGAGACAAACGTCTAAGCATACATAGTGTTCATCAACATCATTATCGCCATCAGCCTATTGATGTCCCTACTGCTGGGACACCCAATATTCAAGTTTAAAAAAATGTCAGTAGAAACTAGAACGGGTTGATGGAATTTGGGATATTTCTTGTATCTGTACCAATTCATCGCGTTTTTTTTTATTTTAATTATTCGGCAGAGAGAATATAATTATACTTCTCCTTTCATCATTAATTTGTAGCCACTGGTATGGGTTGTACGCTTACCTGATTAGTATCTACATTATAAGTTTTAGTAATATTTAGTGTATAACTGTTCTATGTGCCCAATTGTTAAAAATAAAAATAAAATAAATATATTTTAACTTTTTATCTAATGTCTTAAATTTGAGCTTTTGAACAAGTTAATTACATTTTATTTTACAAAATCGCTCTACTGGTTGGATATTAATTGTACTTAATTTTTATTGTTATTCGGTATGTTTTATACTCACAGCTAAGTATAGTGATTGTCATAGAGGTGTACATAAGGAACAGCATGTTGAAGAACAGGAAGCCAAGGTTAGAAAGCACCTTGGAACCGTCATCGCCAATATCATAGTAAAGTGCACCAATCAGGAACCCAACCAGGATGTGGGCGAACAGACGTAGGTACATCAGGGTCTATGGACAAACATATATATTTACTTATATTTAGGTTCAAGGTTGGCTGTATGGTCAGAGCATCCTTTGCCTTTTCGATAAGACTGGCTGTATGAACTTTTTCCTTTGCATTTCAAATGTGAGGAGGCAAAGGTTACTTAGTCCATACAGGCTGTCGATTCTTTTGCTTCATTATGCTACGGTTGTGACACTTTCTAATGTATCATAAGTGTAAAAAAGGCACGAAATTTATCGAAATGGTTTCTTCAGTAATCAGAGTTAGGTAAACAATACAACAACAAAGCTTGTGATGCTAAAACTCAGATATGTCGATTAACTTTCAAGTTCGATTACTATTGATGCTCTCCCTTTCTTTGCAATATCAATAGAAACAGACAACATGTGACCAAATAGAACACGAATAAGACAAGCAACACATATAATTCAGAACTCTGACTACAGTCGTAAACGTCAAATCATAAATTTACTTCCCATTCTGAATGTGACTGTATTTGTTTAATATTTATCTACCTAAATTGTTGAAAAAATCATAGTTAAAGTTAATAATAATTACCCAATCTCTCCTACTGAACAGTAGGGTCCTCTTGAGCACCACCCAGAACTGCTTGAACTCAGAGGTAGCGTATCTTCTAGGAGAGGCTTCCTCTCCCAGCAGAGCTACTTCCACGTTGTCCTGCTTCTCTTCCATTTGAACCACTAGCGGTTCCCCTGGGAAAGAGAGTCATCATCAGCATTTGCCTGTTAATTTCAACATTGCTAGGGATCAGGCCTTTCATAGGCTCCTAAGTCTCCACTGGTAGGGATCAGGAGGCCTACTCTAATCAATGAAAAACGAAATTTCGATCGAAACTTCGCACTTTTCCTACTAAGTTTCTGGTTCGTTTTTAATCATAATAATATAAGTCGTCGGAATATAGATTGAGGTGTAAATTTTCCAAGCCTACTCAATGAAAGCTTCAATTTGATATTATAGTAATATAAGTTATTTACGGGATTGTTACCATGCACCTTGTTTTTAGCGAGTTTCCGATATTTCGGCACTGTTGCCAACGCCATGATCGGATCGGAGTAACTGTTTACCCCGTGATCAAAGTTTAAAATAATATTCAATTTGATAGTTTGTTGTTCAAATTAAGTATAACCTTACGAAATCAAATTTCGTTTGAACTTCGTTATCGAAAGTTCGTTTCGGAGAAAAAGAGTAGACCTACAGGCACCGAATTAGAAATGGAATGGAATACGAACTGCGCTAAAAAGGGTTCCACGCAAACTGCGATCAAGTGGGTGGGGCGAAAAAATATGATCACCACGCTGGTCATGGGCTTGGTTTGGATTTCCGTTTATTATATATTTTTTTTTGTAATAATTTTCTTTAATATAAAACATATTATGAACCATATATTGTTTTAATCGGAGTCTCATAAAAAAAGGTACATGGTAACAATCCCGTTAATAGCTATAATATTATGAACCATCTAAGAAACATGAAGTGGATCAACGTAAACTGCGATCAAGTGGGTGGGGTGAAAAAATATGATCACCACGCTGGTCATGGGCTTGGTTTGGTTTTCCGTTTATTATATTTTTTTTTGTAATAATTTTCTTTAATATAAAACATATTATGAACCATATATTGTTTTAATCGGACACTCATACAAAAAAAGGTACATGGTAACAATCCCGTTAATAGATATAATATTATGAACCATCTAAGAAACATGCAATCTCGCTATTTAAGACTCCCAGACCGATGTTATCATGAAGGGTAAGATAAACACAGTATTTTCCTGTTTATGTTTGGCATTTCGCGACATTGACCAACATGTCGACTTGGAATAGATACTGAAATCCTGATTACATGAACGTCAACTAGCATCTATTTCTGTTAATAGATAAATTAGTTATATGTCTATTATAATAATAAATGATGTAATTGAGTTTATATCAATGTGGCGCCGATACATGACAAGTTTTGTGTTAACTTCACAATTGATGTATGAAACATCTAAACAAGTAAGTATCATGCGGTTATGTTTAACCACTAATAAACTATATTTTTAAAAATTTGAAGCATGTAACTGCTAGATGTTTAAATCTCGGGCTATCCGGGCGGTTGCCCTGACCATTATGCTACCGCGGCCCTGATGGCCGTGTCGAATTCTTCTCTAGCCTTTCTTAAGCTGCAAGGCAGCGCCATCTATTCACATTGTAGGCAACCCACAATTTCAAATGAATTTGTTATTGCAATTATTAAACATTTGAAAGAAGAATAGTTATATTTTTTTATTTTAAGCATGTAATTTCTAGATGTTTAAATCTAAAGAATTTTTACTAGAAAAAATCCACGCGGACCAGGCAGCAGACAGGACTTGAACCCGTACCCTTCGCTCTCCGGGCGAATGCACTGACCATTATGCTACCGCAGCCCTGACGACACAATGTATTGTGGGTTACCTACAATGTGAAGAGATGGCGCTGCCTTGAATCTTAAAAGGCTAGAAAAGGATTCGACACTGCCATCATGGCCGCGGTAGCATACTGGTCAATAAATTCGCCACGATAGCGAATGGAACGGGATCGAATCACTTAACCGATTTAGATGAAATTTGGTATATATAGTGTAGAGTCCCTGGAAAGGACATGGAATAGTTTTAATCCCAGAAAACATATTTAAAGGGGATGAAAAGAGGGGTGGCAGTTTTTCACGCACTAAACTTTTCAAGCAGACGAAATCGCGGCTAGTTAATATATAATAGGGTATATGACAGTATTAAAAATAAAGTGCCAATTGTTAGCATCTGTGTATAGAATGAATATTGGCAGGGGTTTACTGTTTTTACAAAAATAATATTACATAATTTTACTGTAAATCGACGAAAAGATAATAGTTTTCTTATCTATTGTCACGTGACCCAAAACGCTTGGGATTGGCGGAGCCTAAAATGACGTCACACGCAAATAAACTTCCGGTTAAAGTGACATTACATTGTATCGTTTGACGTTCTAATAACAGTCGTGTGACGTCACACACAAGTAAGACGCCATATTGTCCAGAGAAACGTTTTCGCGGCAACTTGAAAATGGAGTTTTTGACATGGTTATTTTTACTGAAATACACAACAGAATGATGAATAACAACTTTTTAGGGACTCCATAAACATTAGTCGTGAGATCGTTTTCTAAAACTTGTCAAATACCCTATCTTGTTTCCTATTCTTACCTTTCCCTTTGCCGATTTCGTTGGCGGCGAACTGCAATATCCCGTTGTGCAGGTTTCCGTTTCCGTTGGCATCTTTGTTGCCGTCCGCGAACTTGTCCTGCAGTTGCGAGAGATCATTCTTGTTCCGTTCGGCCGCTAGGGACATCTCCATATCGCGCTTGTTGTTGTAGTTGGGAACTTTGCTCTCGGGGAATGGGCGGCCGGTCCTGAGATAAATTATTAGTTTTTAAATCCAAAGAAAATATTAGCACTGTGCTTTAATAGAGCTTATTTAATTCTTTATATATATATATATATGTACATATAAATCACATTAAAAAAATCTTACTTATCAATAATATTAATAAAATTCAATGATATAAAATTTGCATTATATAAAATAAACACTATTAAACAAATTTTATCACATTAAATAAGAAACATAATTTTAATTCCTTGTCATTAAAATACTCTTGCAGTGTAGTAAATATTGATACAACAGATGTTGAGTTTCCCCATAGAACTATACCGTACTGAAGCCATTATTACACACAATTCCCATTTAAACATGAAAGAATCTGATTGCATAACAAAGGCATGTTTTCCAATAATGTTTATTTTCTGTCAATCCATTAGAGTAAGCAAGCTGATATAAGAGTGCAACAAAAAATAATACTATCAAATTATTGGCATTTACATAAAATTAAAAAAATAAACCTACTCTTTATGGCGTATTTCCCGTGATTTCGACATAAAGAGCTGGAGCGAATTCTTTGAAGCAGCAATCACTTAACGCAATCAACATGCTCTTTAAGACGAAAATCCCATGAACTTGACACTAATTCTTTTTAGCAATTCTATAGAATAATAGCGACTTAACGCAAGCGATTATCGTCCCAATCGACTGTAACTCACCTGATGTCATTCTTCCCGTTGTCAATAGCGCGCACCAGTTTGCCAGTGTTGTCGCCGTATTCGCCGCAAGATACCTCGATGATGAAGGATGCTGGGTTGTGGTACGCGGGACATTGGAGACTTAGGCTGCCTAGCCAGTCCACTGGAAGAAATTTATCGCAATAAATAAGTAAATCATTCAAAAACATTCATTTTCGTGTTACCTACTAGATGAACACAAGTCAATAACAACACATCTTTACTCGATCAAGGGTCCAACCGATTTGTTCTACTGGGACTATTTATCGATGCCATGTTAGTTGCCCTAGTCAAGTAGGACCACGGATAAATTGTGGTTAACCCACCTAGGTCCCATCATTAGGAAAAACCGGTGGGACCGTGGGTCCCTGATTCTCTTCTCGTTACTAGATTTGTTGACCAATGGTATAGCAATCAATCACAATAAATACACGGGTCAATAAGAAAAAAGACCCGATTTTTGGTACTAGCTTTGCTGAGGTACATTATGCGGAGCTATGGTGTAGAAATCAATCAGAATACCTACTTAGGTCACTAAAAACCCTTGCCGAGTTTCTTGCCGGTTATTCTCGTTAGGTAGTTATTGGCATAGATTTGGCTTGATTGATTTGGTTGGTTGGGTCACCAGATTTTAAGCGAAGAGTTGTCCAGATGTTCATTAACATCAGTTCGCAAATAGAGGTAACTTGCTCCGTCTTGTATGAAAAATAAAAAAAACTATTCCCCTTATTACAAAACATAAACTTGAATTATACTTGGTTCAAAGCTGCACATCGATTCAGTAATATGCAATCTCATTATCGATTTACGATAATTTGAATTTTTAGCATTTATTAAATGTTTTAATTACTGGCTGCTTCAACACTAATTGCGAAAAATTCCCGTTTAATGGAGTAATGAATATTAAAATAATGTCTATACTTGGAACTATCGGAGCTAGACAGCTAGCGTAGTAACTTAGTTTTTATTTATTAAATAATTATGACATTGGTGTCTGGCATGATTTACTAATTTGTACGCCAAATTCTATACATTATTTTCCTATAATTTACGGCAGTTCGGAAAAAAACAAAAGATTAAAATTATTGTTTCTAAAGTCCTTTTATTTCTTAGATTGTGTAAGTTTTGGGCATGCGTTTTTTTAAACGATCAATAATTTTTCAGCTTTCAGAAATGTATCAATTCAATGTTTAGAGTGGAGTAATTTATTCACAATTAATGGGTTTTGGCAGCAACCCAGAAAAATTTAAACAAATCGAAGAACCGTCACATCTGGTGACCATCCAGTTTTGACCACTAGTTCATTGGACTTAATTTGTTGCTAATGACCTCTAGTATAACCCCTTTCAAGAAATAGGTCGAGTTTTCCTGTCACCCTATATAGATACACTTTTCTCAATTTTAATTTTAGGTTTAGAGAATCATGTCCGAATCGACACCAGTATCATTTTAACCCGGGTACAACGTTTTGTAATAATGAATTAAATACACGTTAAGGTATCATTCATCATAACTGTTATGAAACTTTTCGTGTTTCTTCAATTACCTATTGGATACAGCTAGAAGCTTTATAAAATATTACGATTAGGTACTACAATGTAACAAAATCAACTACCTAAGCGTGAATAATTTACAGCATTGAACCACGTATGTTGTACGACAATTATACCAAGATAAAACCCACCATTTTCCAATGACCCCTCTATAGTATGCCCTGCTATTATAGGTCAAGCTTTACATCAAATAGCTGGAAGAAGGAGTAACTAAGTAACCAATGCGCGTGCGTCACTAACTCGGAGCAACTTAATACTTAAACGGTATTAGTTAAGCAAGTCACGTGCCTGCTACAACTAAGGAAATAGCCGGCATCCGAGATTTACAAGCAGAGCTTAGAATAATAACGTGTCCTAGAAACACGAGTTAAAAATTTATGACTTAAAGAAGAATGGGAAGAAAAGACTACCGGGAGACAGTTACCTAAATATTTTTTGGTATTTAGTTATTAAGGGCGAACCTTTCAAATTGGAATATTCAACTTTCAACCTCTTTTTCAAGTAGGTATTTATGTAGGCCGTAAAAAAACTAAAGGAAAAAAAATGCGATGGGTAATGTAGTTTTAAGTTGTTGTGCAAAAACTGGTGTGCCATAAACATATTCTGTAGCCTATAAAAACATTAATAACAAAAAAGTTTTACTTACAAATTATGGTAAGCCTGATGCCATATTAGGAAAACAAAAATAGCAACCAATTGTTGGCATCTATAGTGAACATCAATATTGGCAGAAATTATACTATTTTGACACAAGAAATAAAATTGATTAAAAATATAACACACATGATATACATATACTACTCCCTTGTAAGATTCTAAAATATTTAAAACCCTCTGTTTCTCAAATCAATCTGCAGTTCTATGCATCTTGCGGTTCTACTGAAAGGAATACGCATTACATGTGACGACAGACAGCTGCCTTGCGAAATGATACGCAGGCCATTGCGCACTCAAATAGTTTCACATCTCAACTTAAATGGCAAAAGTTGTTAAATTCCACATAACGGGATATACCTTTTAACGTATAATTCTTTTAAATATAGCAGCAATATTTCGACTTTTATCATTTTTAAGAATTACAGTATAAAGCCAAAGAAGTCGTTGACCTTCCAAACAAAAAACCTTTTTGCAGTTAAAACTCGTATGAGGTGTAAAAGAAATATAAATGCTTGATTTAAATGCATTTCTTGCATGCAGGTTTATTATTTATCACCTTAAACTTTAAAACATCGTTAAGTGTATGGGTGATAAAGTTCATTGTTCTTTAAAATATACCCTTAAAATAACCTATGTTGTTTTATGCTAATAATAAGGATTATAAAAACAATATTAAAATGATCTAACCTCATATTCGTTTTTATTATTCGGGATATCGTTATCGGGGAGGTACGCACAATGGTCCAATGATTAGGACTAAGTGCGGAGACCGCCCTGAAAAACTAATCGTTATCGGGGATATTTTCAATCTATACTAATATCATAAAAAGGGAAAGTTTGTGTGTTTGTATCTCTGGATTTACTGAACCGATTTTGACAATTCTTTTACCAATAGAAAGCCACGTTATTTGTGAGTGTCATAGCCTATTATAAATATACTAACCCGAAAAATTAAAAGACTTTAACGCGGATCAAGTCGCGGGCAGCCGCTAGGGATAGTTTAAAAACGAATACGAAACCTCTCGGCTGCATATGCAGTCGTTAGCACCCACCACTGGGCCCGCGTGGTGGGTAATGGCCCCATCTCCCTATTCCATCGGCAGGGAAGGCCTGTGGCCCAGCACCAAACAACATTAAAAAAGCTGATAATGATGATATCAAAGATACATACCCAGACTTCCAGTGCTGCCCTGGTAAACGCACTGGCCATCAGCCAAAGTGTACAGATGGTCGAACATTTCAAATAGACGAGCCGACGGCTGATGAATAGTGCAGATGATAGTCCGTCCCCCTCTAGCCAGGGTCTTCAGCAGGGAGATACATTGGAAGCAGGAAGAACTGTCCAGGCCTGAAGTAGGTTCGTCGAAGAACATGATTGGAGGATTGTTCACCAACTCTAAGGCTATGGAAAGACGCTTCTTCTGCCCTCCGGAAAGGTTGGAAGTCATGGTCTTGTGGTGCTCCGACAGGCCTAGAGTTTCGAGGATCTCTTGGATCTGAAAAGATACATAGCTGTCTAAGCTTTCCGTTATAGTTATGAATGATATAAGCGGGATAACTATCAGGTACCTTGTTTTCAGCATGTCTCCGATATTGGTAAAAAATAAGATGGGTTTGTACCCACCTTATTTAAAAATGTTCCTTGTGGAGCTATAACATTAATTGGCTATGATGTTAGTGACCACGAAACTATAAAACAATATTAAGATTTCTGTTTGTCTTCGAAGAGAGTGAACGTGTGCAATAAAACTACATAGTGTTTTCGTAAATTAAGATTTTTAGAAATTGACTTTAACGAATTCTTAACAGATTTTTATTTTATATATTAAAGAGGCATTCGCTCGCTACCTGTAAACAACGACAGCAAATTCAACAAGACCAGTTGCAAAATCGGGATTTAGAAATAATAATTTTATCGTGCAAGATCTCCATGGTTAGAGTTCCGGTTTTGTCGCATTTTCTGAGGGTTCGCGAATCCTGATATGGATAAATTTCTGTATGATGAATACGCGCATTTGTACCAGAGACACGGCTGTTTTTTAAATGTAGTAGGATGATTTGATAAATCGATTTTTTGCGAAATTTGTTAAAACGCGGTTAATTAAACAGTGGCGATGACATTGCTGTTACTGTTAACGATTTTTTTTCTGACGTTTCGCCGGCCGCTTCCGCGGCGTATTATAATATGGTGATTGCTCAAATTTGTAGCTATTTGACATTGATAGTTAGCCACTCTTACACTCGCCGCATTAAAAACAAATTTTTGCAATCGAAACATGGTATAATAGTTGTTATACTGACCACTTCCTGCTTGTCTGCCCAAGTGGTAGCCGTGGGCAGTTTGAGTGCTGTGGCTACCGACATCGCCTCCTCCACAGTCAGGTTGCCGTGGAGTTGGTTGTCTTGCATGATGTAGCACGACAGCTTCCGGAAGCTGGACAGGTTGCGCTCCATACCGTTGACTGTGATGCTGCCTTCCATGCCTGACGTCCTGGTTGAGGAAATGATATAAACGCTTTTTAAGGGAAAACTTCTTTTGGTGTGTGGGCGGTTTTGGGATGGGAAAAAGCATAAACTCGTTGACTGTAGTAGTGCCCACAGAACACAGAAAAAGGTATAAGCATTGGTTATGGGAAGTATTTACTTAAATAAAATCCACTCGTCTTCAATATTTATACATTATTTAATGCGCACAATTTGCACAACCTTCTCTTTGCCTTAAATTTCTGAAAACTTCTTTATGGGTAGGGGAAAGTGCATACACTCGTTGACTGTGGTAGTGCCCTCCATGTCTGAGTTTGTGGTTGAAGAAACGGTTATGATATAATGATAATTTTTTTCATTCTTGCTTGAAAATTTCTTTGAAGGCATTGGATGCTTTTGGGATGACGGTGTAATACGCTATTATTAATGAACAAAAAATAAAACCGACTTCAAAATCGAAAATGGAACTAAAAAGTAAAAAATAATATCTGGTTCATGATTTGGAAATCGAGCGGGTCAAAATTGAAAGACGTATTATTACCGATCAGAAACGAAAATCTATTTAATGTTTCAATCTTGACTCCGCCCGATGTCCAAATCATGAACCAGATATTATTTTTTACTTTTTAGTTCCATTTTCGATTTTGAAGTCGGTTTTATTTTTTGTTTAATTTTTTTTTATTTCATCCGTTTTAGTGAAAATTACATCGTCCAAGTAAACAATAACACAATTGACGGAGAAATCGGTGAATATGAAAAATATACAGTCGAACACAGAACCTCCTCCTTTTTTGAAGTCGGTTAATAAAAAACATCGTGCGTGCCTTTGAAATTCGAAGGTTTCCCTCGATTTTCCCGGATTCCATCATCAGATCCTGACTTGGTTCCAATGGGACCATCCCGGAAATGCACTCTTTCGAATAAAAAAAAATTTTGGAAATCGGTCCGCAATTGACAGAGAAATCGGTGAACATACTTAAAAAACAGTCGAACACAGAACCTTCTGCTTTTTTGAAGTCGGTTAAAAAATTGGCATTAAATTCAAATTATATTTCTTATCAGATTCAAATTATTTGTAACTTTTTAGTTCTTTTTACTGAAAAGATTGATTTTACAAACAGCTTTTTTCTTATTTTTATTTAATATTTAAAACAGGTAATTTATTAGTCATCATATAGAAATGTTACATGAAAAGAGAACAGAGTGCCCTCATTAAACAGAATTAACACATATAGAAATCTTTATACACAAATACTTTGCCGGCAAAACTTGATGGAAACACATTTAATTTATTCAAGGGCGAGGTCACGAACGAAACGAGTTCTTTTGAGCGCAAAGACAAGACCTACCAAAATATTGCTATTTGTGTTTTAGATGTTGTTGGCTGATCAACATTGCCAGAATAAATTTTGTGTTTAAATTTAATAAATTCTATGTTATATTTATATGGCGGTAGTCGGTACCTTCACTTGAATATTATAGTGTTATACATAGAAACAGTACATATGAAAGTTGGCAAGGACGTCGCTAAAAATGTGTCCAACTGTAAATTAATCAATCCACTTTGGTTGCCTCACCAAAAACTAATGCATGCGTTTTTTCTTTTAATTATATGTTATAAAATAAAACTCCCTCTTCACACTCTCATTTTTCTTCTACTGGACTGGATCTTATAGATATTATTTCCGATCCTATCCTATAATTTATCTTAGTTTCATCCTCTCCTTAATCCGGCTTTCTCTCAATTTTTCTCTTTCAACCGTGCATGTCCCTACACCGGATGTTACGGAGCTTCGACTCCGATTCCGATAAGGCGGAACTTCCGATTAGTATTACACCTTCGGTTCCGAGTTCGGCTCCGAAACTTTTTAATCGGAGGTCGAAGCATAGCACATAGTGACGGCGGCCTGCGTCGACCGTTACGAACTGCTTCATACCCGTAGCGTTGGGAGTCTGTGTTAATAATAAGTAAATTTAAACGAAAAAAGGTTTTCAAATGAAAAATATCTCTCTTGTGGCTACTGCTGACTCTGCCGCTGACCCCGACTCTGCCTCCGACTCCGGTTCCGACTCCGATAATTCAAATTTTAAAACTCCGACTCCGACTTCGGTTCCGATAAATTGCCTCCGTTACATCCCTGCCCTACACTACCCATTCCCTCTCTCTTTCTTTTAATGCTCCGTCTTTCCCCTGGCAGAAATATTAGCAGCCTTGGGCGGTGAGTGGAAGTTTGTCTTACGAGCTCATGTTACTATGACTCTTAAAAAACTTATTATTCGCGATGCCTTACTAAGTATCATCATAGTGTCCTACGATGATACAGAGATGTTGATGTCCATTTCAAAATAAATGGTACCTTATCTTAGAGTATATTTTAATTTATGGTACATACGGTTTTCGCAATTTTTCCTTTATCTGTACTATAAGACGTTACTTCGTACCAAATTTCAAGTTTCTAAGTTCACGGGAAGTACCCTGTAGGTTTTAATTACAGTGCGAGTTTCGAAAAATTTTCGGAAATTTGCGGCATAAACGGCTGCATCTTTTGATTGCTTTGGCTTAAAAGTTTGATTTTTTCACAGCTCCAAGGGACAGTAGACCGGAGTATTAGATATGAATTTCAGTTTGATACCTCCACGCGTTCCTGAGAAAAACGGTCTTGACAGACGGACGGACGTACGGACAACAAAGTGATCCTATAAGGGTTCCGTTTTCTCCTTTTGAGGTACGGAACCCTAAAAACAAAGTCATTCCTCGGCTGGGAATCGACCCCGGGCCGCCCGCGTAGCAGGCGAGCTTTCTACCACAGAACCACCATTGATTGTTTGTTGATCAGCGTTGATTTTTTTCATAACAATTAAACATGCAATGCTTCATGCTAAAGATGAACAATAAAATTTGTGGAAAGAAATAATTCTGTTTCCTGCAAACTCGAATGTGATTTCAATCCCAAATACCCAACTAAATTAAGAACGTTACAAGTGTGAAATTTTATCTACCCACATTTCATAATTGTACATCGTTCATTTATGTATATGAACTTGATCGTGGCAGGAGGTGAATTTAAGATAGAGGTGTTACACTGGGATACTAATGCCTTGGTACTTGATATATTTCCAGTAAAAAATTCTTTACATTTATAAATCAAACAGTTTAAAAGCTTAAATATCTAATATATAAAATTTTTGTTTTTATTTTTTTATGATAGGTACATCATACAAAAATGCATACAACCCTTAATTTTCACACTTCTACCACCAACCTCTTTTTTTTATGGCGGTACGAAATTTGCTGGGACAGCTAGTAATAATATACATATAAGTAGGAAGGTACTTGTTATTCTCGATAGGGGTATAATATGTACAACTACCTGATCGGAACAGATGCCTATTTAAATCGAATCAAGGTTAATTACTCGCGTAAATAAGGTCATTAGAGATTAGATTTATCTTCCGAAGTTCAAGTTAGTCGCATAAACTAACGTTATGTTGTATTTTTATTATTCAAGAACCTAACTTCAGATTTTTTTGGATTAAGGCGAAATTTAGTATTAAAAAAACCAGACTTCATGACAAAAAAGTAAAAAATAATCTCCAGCTTACACCAAATCCGGCGGGTTCTAGTATGATTTGGAAATCGGTGGGGTTCTAGTATGATTTGGAAGTCGGGCGGGTCCTAGTATGATTTGGCAGTCGGACGGGTCCTAGTCGCAGCAGTCTAGTGATTTAGCAGTCGGGAAGGGCCAAGTTTGAATCATGGAATGGATTTTCATTTCTAATCAGTATACGTGTCATCATGTTCTGAATCAAGATTATTATAGAACTTATCTATCATTGCAAATCTACGCCGTATCCTTTGAAGGATGGCATATGCATAAAAGTACATCAGTGTGATAGATAAATAAAATATAATACATATTATCTGTATAAATTTCTGTCATACATCAACAGTTGCATAAAATCCAAGTGGTTACCGACTTTATCACATTTGTATTAGAGATCAGAGAGTATCTATGGACAGGTCTTCAAATATGATATTGGGGTTTCTAATATTTCTTTTTCTAAACTGAATAGGTTGCGCGGGAGACACTTCCAAAGTGGTAAAATGTGTGTCCCCCTCCATGTAACTTCTAAAATAAGAGAATGATAAAACTAAAAAAAAATATATGACGTACTACCATGCAAACTTCCACCGAAAATTTGTTTGAACGAAATCTAGTGGGTAGTTTTTTTTTAATAAGACGTCATAAATCGTAGACCGCAATTTACCTTTCATTCAATCAACTCAAATATAAATAAAAACATTTAAGGTTTGTACGGAACCCTCGGTGCGCGAGTCCGACACGCACTTAGCCCTTTTTTAAAATTACATTTTCTACTAAAAACGTCTAAGCAATAAAACCCAGAAACAAATATTTAGATGACCTACGTCAACACTGCATCAAGAAAAGGGAAAAAGGTGTTGAAGGTGACCTCCTCGTTAAAAAATACTTTAACATGTTATTGCATTGAGATATGATGCACAATGCTGTTAAAATTATGTTGAAAAACCGGTCATTGTGCAAGTGTCCGACAATAGTCCGACTGGACTATCACACGAAGGGCGAAGGAAAAATACACGTGTTGTATATGAAAAGCCCCGGTCATAGTCAAAAAAAAAAGTTATTAATAAACAAGGAATAAGCTTAAACTATTTACGCCGTGTTTTATTCATGTCACTCAAGTACCATTTGTAATTCAACGAACAGAGATAAAACATACAGTATCTAATCCAATCTTATTCGTCGTTTATTAATAAGGGGGTTAGACAGTAGAACTAAATGGTTTTAGGGCCGAAACACAACTGCGTTGCGGCGTCGCGAAAAAGAGCGTCATATAGTATGGTAGGGTAACCAGTTTCTCGTGTTTTTTTATTGTGGATAGACGTGTCTCTGCCATGCACCGTCGTAAGAAACTTATTGCTTATTTGTTATTAAGAAGACATAACTCTGTTTTAAATATACGACA